CGGGTTACCTCGTGGAAGCCTATAATCACTTAATGGCAGGATGCTCTTGTTAGGATGGGCCTGGTCATTTAGGATCTTATAGACGGTGATGAGGTCTCCCCTGTGACTACGGTAACTAAGTGTGAAAAGACTTAATTTCTTCAGTCTCTCCTCATATGATTTGTTGCGGAGGCCGATCACCCATTTTGTCGCTCGTCTCTGGACACTTTCTAGCATGTTAGCATCCCTTTTGAGTAGCGGAGGAGCAATGATATTATGCACCTCAAGGAGTGGCCTCACGTATGTCGTATACAACGTTAGGAATAGTTCAGGAGTAAGAGCTCCCAGTTGCCTATGCATAAAGTGTAAAGTGCCGTAAGCTTTGGCGACGTCCCTCGTGTAATTTACACTGGTGTCTAGCTTTTCTGTTAAAATAAGGCCTAGATCGCGTTCTGATGGCACACAACTCAAGTTCTGGCCACCAAGGGTGTAATTTGCACTCTGTGACCTGCCGGAATGAAGTTGCACTGCTTTGCACTTCTTTAAGTTGAAAGGCATTCCGTTAGCCAGAGCCCAGTCCCCCAGCGTTTGCAGGTCAGCCTGCAATCTGTCGGAGTCTTCCGATGAGTTTATTGCTCTCCAAATCTTTACGTCGTCAGCGTAAAGAAGCGCAGAGCAATTCAGTTGACAGGGCAGGTCATTGATAAAAATCAAAAACATCAACGGCCCTAAGATAGAACCCTGAGGAACCCCTGATGCCGAGGTGTGCCGGGATGATCGGATGCGGTTGACTTTGGTGCAGAATTCTCTCTCGCCTAAATAATCTTCCAGCCATGCGAGAAGTGCTCCAGAAACACCCGCTTTGCTTATTTTGTGAAGGAGCAGACCATGGTGAACTGTGTCGAATGCTTTCGCAAAGTCGAGAAAGATCACATGGACTGGTACCTTTACATCCCAGGATAGTGTCCAATCGTTCCAAGCTAGTAGAAGATTCGTCACACAGGATCTTCCCTTCCTGAAACCATGCTGTGCTTCATGGAGTAGGTTAGTCCCGTCGAAGTATTTTCTCATGTGGTCGTCAATGAGACTTTCCAATATCTTCGATATCACTGGGAGTAGCGCAACTGGTCTGTAACTGGTCGCGTTCTGCCGGTCACCACCCTTGAAGATAGGGGATAGGATGGCTCGTTTCCATTCACATGGAAGTTTCCCTACATCAAAGGAGTGTTGAAACAGATCACTTAGGGGTTGGCAGAGACTTTCTGAACACTGCTTCAGGACGGATGGTCTTATGTCGTCGCAACCTGCAGACTTTCCCGAAGCCAACTTTCCCAATTTTATGAGTACCATAGCCGGGGTAATTTGAAATGTACCCAGCAGGTTTTCGCACGTTGGTCTTGCATTGTAATCTTGATGTTTTGTGAGGGTAAAATCCTCGTTACTGTTCAGTTGCCTGTGAAAGGCTAGACTGAATGTCTCTGCCATTTCAAGACTAGTAAGAGATTTCCCATCAGAACCCACTATATTGCAAGCTCCCTGGTTGGTCGGTTTTCTTTCAGACATAAACCTGTATAGGCTTTTGGGGTTCACGAGAAGCTTATTGGCGAGGTTTCTCTGAAATGTCCTTCTATCACTCCGGACTCGTATGTTACACCGATTCCTGAGTTCGAGGTACTCTTCATGTTCGGGTTGACTCTGCGATACTCGCCACGCAAACCAGGCTTTTCGCTTCGCCTGTAGAAGGCGTTGTGTCCCCCTTTTTAGCCATGAACGTTGCTTTCTAGCTTTGGGTGTGACCAAAGGAACAGTGTCTGAGATCGCCTGGTGAATGATCTCCTTTACCACTCTCCAGTGTTCTTCTATTGTAAGCTCTGTCCAATTTTTTGGCCAATTTGCTTCAGACAAAAGTCTTCGCATTTCGGTGTAATTGGCTTTGTTATAACACAGATAGGGCTGTGTATTGTCCCACTGTAAACGCTCGCGGAGGACTATGTCGAATGTTATGACCGCATGGTCACTACTACCTATGGGAGTCGTGATCTGAACGTTTTCCACTAGTAGCTGGTCACTAGTGAGCACGTAATCCAGTCTAGAAGACTTCCCATCTGGGCCCCATCTAGTATCCATTCTGACATTTTCGGTGAATCCGGCCTCCGTGATGGTATGCAGCAGATTTCGATCAAATCTGTCCTGGGCACATCCCGTCATCAAGTTAAGAGATGGGGCATTGAAGTCTCCAGCTATGACAATTTGATCATAACCCAGGTCATGTGTCGCTGAAATTGCATTCAGCAGTACCTGGTTGTGGTCTGCTCCACATGAAGGTGATCTGTAAATGCTGCCCACTAGATACTTACAGTACCCAACGGTGAAATGGCACCATATGGAGTCAGGGAGCTCAATGAGGGGAGGGTCGATTGCATGGACACATCTGAGCTGTTTGTCGACGTATATGGCGACTCCACCTCCTTCTTTCAGATCCCTGTCTCGCCTGACAAGGACCATATCATTTATACTGACTTCGCTGTCTGCCACCGTAGGTGTTAGCCAGGTTTCCGTCAGTATTATGATTTTGGAGTTCAGCTGTGATTGTAGGTATCTAAGTTCAGCTATTTTGCCTCTTAGACCTCTCACATTACTGTACAGGCAACTGGTAGTCAGTCTCACCACGTCCCCGTATTGGGGGGTGGTTGACGTGATGTGGGCTGTCGGTTGAGGAGTTATCCTACGATCTAGTTGGCCGATTCCCCGGGAACCGGTCTGTTGGAGTTTTTTTCTTCTGATTCAATCGGAGCACTTGGATGGCACTGGCTATCATCGTCCGTGCTGCACCGCTGTATTGTGACTAGGGGTTGGGGATGTTCTATGACAACGTTTTGCTCTCTCCTTTGGGTACGAGGCCGGCTCTCGCAGCAGCGAATGTGTCTGCTGACCTTGTCTTTGGTCTCGTACCATCTCTGGAGAGCAGTAGTCAAGTGGTCTCGGGAGCTAAACTTAACAGCTAACAGATGTGGGGTGTTAATTGACATTAGGTGAGTGGGTCGAGGCAGTCTAAAAATAGAGACAGCCCCTGAACTTCCCAGACCCATCTGGGATGCCAACCATCTCCATTGCTGGACATCGTGACAGTGCTTCTCACAAGCGTTCCCAGTTTCCAGTTCAGGAATGCCGTGAACAACCATGGAGGCAGAAGGAATAAGCTCTGGCGACTCCCTCGCCATCTGTCTTTCCTTCCATGGCCTATCTGGCCTAACACGTATATTGCAGGTCCTCCCTATAGAAAGGACTTGGGAAGTCAATAAAACTTTTTCGGCATCTTCGGCAGAGCCTAGTGTTACCCTCAGTGGGGATGGTTTGCCTTGAGGAGCAGCAGTGCCCTTATACAATCTGCACAGTTTTACTGGTTGGATGTCCAGACCCAGTGTGCTACATAAGTTGGACCACTGTTCCTGATCAAACAGGGCCCTGTTTTCCAGCAGACTACTGCTACAGTCTGGTACATTAAAGAGGATAACGCAGTTTGATCGACTGACCGTGGATTTAGGTTCGGTCCTCGCACATTTGTCATCCCCCTTAAGACCGTTTTGTTTCATCTGGTGCAACTGGGTATTATTATGTGTCGCAGTGCTGTGGCCACTTTTACTGGTGGACGGTAAGGGTCTTTTCCCGGCGACAGGTACCCTTGGTGCTTCAACCTCTGTGTCTGGGGCGGTTATGGCAGGAATTGCAAGTATAACCGGTGTGGATTTTGGTATCCCCGATTTACATGCAATTGTGATGTTTTCTGAGTTGGTGGGAGTGAAACGTTTCACGTTTTTTCCTGATATCTCTATGACATCTGTAGCTTTCGAGGAACTACACGAGGCTGCATTAGGACGGCAACTTGGGCAAATGTACCAGAACCATGGGCATGGGTTCTTACGCATAAAATCGTAATATACCTTTGGTACCCCGGTGTCACATCTACAATGTACCCATTGCTTACAAAAGTTACATTCGAAAGCAGAATCTGCTTGTTCGACAATAGAATTGCAGACCTTGCAATCGTCTGCCTTCTTGGGGAACGTTGTAGTCGTCTTGCGACGTCGTGAACGTTTCTTATTGGCCTTCCTGTTTGTTTCCAGGCCTACTGTGGATATAGGTGTCATAATATTCACCTGTTTGCTTAGTTTGGCTGAAGCTCTGGTGACTACGGTGCATGGTCTCCCATTACTTATCTTGGGATGAGAATCTATAGTCATTTTACTCCTAAAATAATACCAATGATTAAATGATAAGAGAGAGTGGAGTTTTGTCCAATAGACTGACAGCAAAAGACAGTAGAAAGCACAGAACGGAAAGATAAAGTATATAAGTAAAAGCTTTTGACTTTACCTGTAACTTTCGGGTTATTCGGCTTCACAACAATCACGTAACAGACCACCAAGTCCTGTATATTTGAAAGAGTGAGGGGGATGTTGCTACAGAAGTAGCACCTGAAGCTTGGGCAGTAGTTCGAGACAGTGGGAAGTACTAAACACAGGCTCGGTGAAGAAGAAATGGTTGAATAAAATTCGCCGGATAGGAAGATCAGGTTTCCCAAACGAATTATTCACAAAAGTGGATATTTCCTGTTAGACGGAAAAATGCACGTCGTATTCAAGGAGCCTTAATCCAAACTCACCCAACAATTTTTTCTCGTCAACGTTCAATGCATAATAATTTAATTTTCTGTTTCTTCGGCATATTTTACTTTTTCACAATAGATTTCGTTGTCATGACAGTCATTTTTTTTCGACTTCTAAATATAGCAGACGACTTAGTAGGTCTAACCATGGAAACGACAAATGTCGACTATATGAGAATAATGGTCTCAAAAAAACTACTAGACTACCACACGACCATCCCTCAGGGGTATACCAGAGCCACAACAAAGACTGAAAAGGACAGTCTTCATAATTCTACTGTAGACGAAGAACAGTTCGCATTAACTATTTTAGTAGTCCGCTTTGCATATTAGGAGCATGACAAATTTGTTTGGAGTCGATCTCAAGGTCGACCTAATGCGAAGGACGGCATGGTTGCACAAATTCAACCTGTTCAGCATTACTTAACAACATGCTTCGGTAACTGTAAATAATAGATGCCACGACCGTGTAACTCTAAACTATAGCAACCTAAAACGAAACTACCTCCAGCAACGAATCAGATGCGTAAGAAGTAGAAGTGCGTAATTTGAAATAAACGCCCATGTACAAGTAATGCAATATTGAAAAGTGGTTACTTGTATATGTTCCAAGAAAACCTAATTTCTCACAGGAGTCCTCATAGTCAGGTTAAGCCAATATCTGTACATAAATTCATCAGTGTCATCAATCCGTTCATTGGGTAGTTTCGCTTTGGGTTGCTATAGTTAAGAGTCACCCCAACACATATATTCTCTCCGAATCAGTTTTATTATATGTATTTCTGTTAAAGAAACTTTTCTACACAAGAAGTCCTCTTCCACTAGATGACTTCGGCTAGTTGTTCCGATTCATTCTGTTAGTCCTTGAGTGTTGTGTGATTCCTCACAGCTGTCAGCTAATCGGAAACTCAGTCCCTGGAACTGAGTCTTCGTTGTTACTGGGGATTTCCTAACAAACACGTTTTTACACTATTGTGTGCTTCATTGTTCTTAGCTCTTGTTTCCAAGTAGCAAGAACTCCAGGTTTACTACAGAAAGTGGGACATGATGGGCACTTCTCTGCAGTGGACCCAAAGTTTTCACACTGCGTTGGAGTCAGTGTTAGCTGGGTTGTTTTCTCCTTGCAATAATTTAGACCTTTGGTTTCCGGGGTCATGCTGTTGGATCTTTATCATTAGTTTGCATTCGCTATCTCCCACTTTCCGGCTTAGTTGAAGAATGAATTCAGTTTTCGCATGACTGAATTATTCATTCGCCAGTTGTGCGGTAGTAATTTTATTTGTCATAATAGAGGTTGACAAATCTTTCTCATCTCTCGAACTGAGTTTAAGCAGTGGGCCTCGATGGTGTGAATCCAGAGGCGCCTAAGGATGATGATGAATTATTGTCTGGGTTAACTAACAAAATCAGTAGTGTGTGGGAATCTGAGACATTTCTGTTGGAGTAGTGGGTATCTTTGATTGTCCCAGTTCATAGAGGGAGATAAATCAGCCATGTAAACGCTTATGGAGCGTTGGCATGAGAAGTAATAACAACCAGTGTTGTCCTTCGGGGATGCCCAATGTTCACACTTTTGTTTTAGCTCGTCGTAGATGCACTAATAAATGTGACCCATCCTGTAAAATAAACACTGCTACTGAAACTTCAAGCCACTAGCTTGAAGCCCTATGTTCCACTGGGGAACGTGAAGGAAGAAAAAAGTGGACTTAAGCCATTTGGAGGCTAGCTAGTCGCCAATCAACGGTCTCGTGGAGGTAGAGTGTGGGTGATATAGTCTTTCAACGTGGATGCGTTAAAAAAGTGTGGTCTTGTGAATACCTTAGTATGTTTGGCAGGCGAGTCGCCTCTGCCAAACGTAAAATGATTCAGGACTGGTTTGCATCAAATTCTGGATTAGTGATAGGTGAGATCGTTGCATGTGTTGACCACTTCGCTTATATGGGAAGTTGCTTGAGCTCTAATGGACTAATTGCTAGTGAGATATCAACATGGAGAAAAGAGTCATATCTGTCGTAGATATAACATCCAGTTTCTGCAAACATGATGTGTACCGCTGAGGTGTTCGCTTTATCATTCTAAATACCTGTGAGAGATAGCTGTTGACATTTGCAGACATGAAATTACTAGCCTTCTTTGACCATAGGTGTTTGTGCGCAGTTTCCCGTGTTGTGCAATATAATGTGTAATATTGAGGTTAGGAATAGAGTTAAGTGAGGAGGAGAAATCAGTCAATGTGGTTGTGAAGCTACAATGGTTGAGACGGTCAAGACACGCATGCTGAGGCCTCACCTTCCTGACCGGTTAATGTCAGCTGACAGGGATAAGGTGGAAAAGGGTTAGGCATGGTTACGTCAAAACCTTGTATCAGCTTATGAAGTCTTTAAATGTTAGTGTTAGCCACACAGGTGAGTATTGACTATGTGTTTGAGTTCATCAAAAGGCTGTAGACTTTCGGTGATATGGCATAAAGTCGTTCTCAATGTCACAAATGGGACGTACCAGATCTATCGATTTCTCACTATTTTCCCTGTATTTTTTCTTCCTCCTGTTTATTTTCGTCCATTTGAGTGCTTTTGAATTCGAAAACTGAGTCAGCTACACCCTTATTAGGCAAGTCGATATTTGATCTTATGTGATCATAGATATCAGTTTTGTGTGCTTCTGGATAGTGGAGAAACATGCTTGGTGATATGAAAATTACGAAATCTTGTAGTCATTTCAGCCGTTCAGATGTAAACTTTTAGAGTAAGCGTGATCTACATTTACTGAATAGCATGTGAAACTGAGGTTCGGAGTTTGTTAGCTACTCTTTCGTTCTTTACAACATAAGTCAGTATTTTATTGTGTTTTAATTGATTTTTTTCTTGGTCATTTTCCAGAACCTGTCCATCCAGAGTCCGCTGACTAACCACTTGTTGCTGGTTACCCATCTCTGCAGAAATTCTTAAGAGCTCATAATGGTTACGCATAATGATATTTTGGATATTATAAAGGTTGGGAAAAATAAATGTTATTTAATCAGTACGTTAGCCAATTAAACGTGGTGAAAATGATGCCTCAGTTGAATTTCCTTTTGAGCGAATTTCACGTTATTTGCTTCTTGGTAAGTGAAAATGAAATAAGCTCTTGTTACGTTTTTAGTATTCATTCGTAGTAATGAAGTTTTGCAATTCTAATAAGCTTCAGTTGACATAATGAAGAAATACAGGTAGTATTAGATAGCTGTAGATATTTTTGTTTCAGAATCTGACAGTCTGTGAAATGTTAGTAGCCCGGTTTTGTTGGAATTTGTGTTCCAAACCTCGATATCGATTTCCTATGGGTACATAAATTTCTTTCCCAATACGAACTTATGACAAATAACACATACTTACAAGTTAGAATTAATTGAACCTGTCAAATATCTGTAGAACTTGTTAACTGAGTACATACCTTGTTAGATATTCCATGTTTCTTTTCATTTAAATGCCACATAAATACAGTGTTAATATTGTTATTGTGGAGATAAACTCAGGAAGGCCTTCCATTTGTCCTCGTATCTCAACCAATGTGGAGACAAGCGCGTGCTATTGTCATGGCCCGCTCATCATAGAAGTACATCGATCTATCCAGCGGTAATTGATGATATGAGCGGCTAAGATTATTACTATTTCACCGCTTTTCTGAACTGGATGGTGATAATCTCAACACATTTGTAGAGGGGGATTACCACTAACCGTTCATGCTTTGAGACTCTAAATGTACCAGCTAACGGACTTTATGCTTGACATGGTTCTGAATACCTACCTGTAAATTGAAATCCTCCTGTACGATGACCACGTCTGTTCGTTAGATTTTTCTCATTTTGGCAGGACATGCATTTCAAAAGAAGTCTTGGAGTGCCATTTAAAAAACAACACTTATCTGAACGAAGCTACAGGTTTGAGAGTTGATGCATAATATAAGACCGCGGGAATGAATTACTGGACACATTGGTGGTCAAATCGTAAAACTGAAATCACATTGACCTGCTTAGGTGGATTTTATTAAATGAAAACACACTAGGACTCTGTATGCGGATGTTGAAGTTATAGTTAGTAGAATAGGGGTGTGAAATAGGGACAACAAAACGTCGTATTCAAGAGACTGAATTTTCTGTCGCATGAACTACAGTCATTACCGTGATCAATGAAACAGAAAGTTGAAGATAGTGTTGGTTTGATGAGATGGAGAAAGAAAAGTGATGAAGAAGACTGATAATTCGATTTTTTTATTTAATTGATTTTTTATTGTAGCTTGACTCCACACAGTATTTTTGATACAAGTATGGAATTTTCAGCATGTGATATCGGTAGCCTAAATTTAGCAGGCTAACCATTGGTATCAGGTGTGCGTCGGCCGGGGATCAAACCCCGTACCATGTGCATGGTCGGTCAGCGTCCTAAACCCTATGCCACCGACGATAGATAGGTCGAGAAAGAAGTGTGGGCAGTTGATACTTACATAATTTTAAAGTAAAAGTTAATACCTTATTGTACTTGAATCAGATAAAGAGGTGTTTAACTACTAATACTAGAGAATATCTGCAACAGAATGGCTGTTGATGAAAGTATTCTACGCTCTCCTTCAGCAAAGCAACTTTCCCCGTAGACCTTTACTATATTGAAGTGGCATACAGTATAAGAGATGATGCTACCACCGAAACTTGGCATTACAAGGAGATATTTAAATATGGTTGGGAATTGATTCCAGTGGTAAAAATACATTTGTATTCTATCTTTATATGCAGTGTTTACCTATTTCAATAAGTGACTACGTTATTGATCTTTTTTAACCAACTGTGATTTTCCAATTTTGTCTCTTTTTTTATTAACTATCAGATGAAAAAGATCTTCCAGATGACCTTCGAAAATTACTGGTTGAAAATATTGTAAGTGCTGCTTTCGATCCATCACTTGTAAGTTACATATTTTAATTGACTGTCCATTCCACCTGTTTTTTTTTAATCAGATAAGGCTGAAAGGTTTTGAGTTGTTATTTCCTGGTCTTTGGAATTTTGTGTTTCTAAGGTTAGTTACATTGTTGCTAACCCTTTGGTATTTTGATTTAGATCATCAGAGGTAAATTGGGCATCATCACAAGTGTTTCCTATATTGAATCAAATTGTACGGTTCAACTGTTTTGTCGACTTCGCTGACCAGCTTCCATCTGTCCTAGTTATTTCAGTTAAAAAAGCCTCTGAATTATATATGCGTAAGTATTTCTTTGAATTATCTTTTTAAAAATTATTTAGTCGACGCGGATTGTCTTTTGTTTTTAGATGCACTTTTGCAGTTTGGCATGAAACATAACATTGACTTGGATGACGCCCTTTTAAAAAGCGTCATCATTTGTGGTAATGAATTCGATTCGTCATGTAAAGTAAGTTGTTTCGGATAAATTTAAATTGTATTGTATATTTGTTCAGGTAACGGATTATAGGTTTACTTTTCATCTCACGTATGCAGGTTAAGGTAACCCAACTAGAGACTCTGCGCCTTGACTGACTGGGTTTTCAGCAGGGTGCAGCAGTTCAAGTTGCCACACTACACGGAAATGTATGGGAAAAGTAGTATGTATATAGAGAATAATGATAATTTAATGGATCTAGCAGTTCATAAAGAGTGAACGGATCTGCACCATTGCAAACGATTTTGAGCCATGTCACCAACAGTCTCAAGTCATTGGTTCTTAGCGTCTCCACGAACCCAACCCGGCAGTCTACACTTCTCTATGTGACTGGCTCAAACTGACAAACGAAGACTTCACAGATTGATACCGGGTTTCGGTTTGATTACCCCTAACTCCTTTTCAAACTAATTCTGTGTAATGTAACATTGCTCGACTCGGAAGGCAGTGGCTCGTCATGCGTGACACGTATCCTAGCCGCCTCACTCCATGTAGCTTCACAACCTCATCGGTCGACTTTCTCTCCTCACCTAGCACTGTATACCTGACTTCCGCTTTACTCACCACATTATACCACTTCGCACGGGAGATAGAACGCAACTATTTGAGGTCAAAGACAACTAGCCTTTACACATTTTCCACTTCGAATTGCCGTATCGCGTAGCCATAAAGCAGGACAGAAAGAACTGCTGCACAATACACAGGTCTTATGATCGACGACCAGATATTATACATTCACCGAAGATAACGTCATTTGGGAAATCCTACATGAGTCTTTCCTATCCGTGCTGAGATATCGTTAGACATCAGTCCATTAAAGCTAACGCAGCATCCTAAATAATTAAAAGCGGACAACACGGTCATTCATTTTACTTTTTGTCGTTAGACTTTGAGTGGATACATCAGCATCATCTCTCGTTAGATAGGGGCGAATCGTATGTCTATTATGGGAAGATGTTTACTCAGTATCTTGCACTATTTTGCGACATGTTGCTTAGTATGCAGTCATACTGGAGGATATAAGCTTTATTGTTTAATTTTGCGAAAATTTTTCTCCGATGTTCTACGGCATACTTTTTACCCACTCTTCGTCAAAAATTGCCTTTTCTGTGTTACGAAATAGTCGGTAATCTGGAATTACTGTTCTCTGTAGTTGTGTTAAGCCACGCTGCTAAACGGCGAAATTTTCCAAAAGTTTTTTGTGAAAGCACCTATCATGTGTGATTACTTAACATTAACTGTTTTCTAAGTTTGTCTCAAGGGACCCCCTCGTAAGGCATATTGAGGAACATATCAGGGCATATCATACCTTGATATTATTATGAGCAATAAATTGTACTCGGAACGTCATCAGTAAATATTGTTGTATAACACTGTGAGACTTTATCGAAATAAATTTTACCCATAATGTATGTCGTTTACACTGTTAGGGTTCTGTAAGAAAGGTCCTACGTTTGACGAACAGGAATGCAGCATCAGTAGGGTGTTTCCATCACATGATCAGCATGCCAGTTTTAATGCCTCTCCTCTGTAGACAGGAGGGTTATAAAACGTCGACTATCGTGTGAAGAGGAGCTGAAACAGTATGGACTAACATGGATGCAGGTGAAAGGTACAGCAGAAGACAGAAGCAAGTGGAGACGTGTAGTTGAAGCCCTGTGTTCCACTAGGAGCCCAAGGGAGCAATAATAATAATAATAATAATGACATACATTCTCATTCGTATACTTAGTACAATCTGCATTTCTGTGGAGTGATAATCATTATCCTTAGTGAACGTTAATGACACCGTATTCACTTTACATTTCTTTAGGATGACTCACTCTGGAATCGTTTGCTTTTAATAATAAAGTTGATAAACTCAATGACATCAGTCGACAATACTGACAATTTATTGGAATCACTCAAACAACCGATTTTATTTTGCTTAGACTGCTTGAAGACTAAAAGTAAGTCAGTGTTTTCATTTAAAGTTGTCAATGACTGGAAAATTCAGCTTTATCAACGTAATATATAACTTAGAAGACAACAAATTCACCGGGACGACATAAGCTTTAGATGTTCAAACCAAGTTCAGATTTAATGGTTTAAAATAATTTGTGTATTGGATATACGATGTTCATTATCATTTTGTAAAGGAAGATGGTCAGAATGTTGACATGCAGTGCCTATAACATATATGTGTGTGGTGGGATCTCCGCACATTTAGATGACACATCAAAAAAGATCATGAATTCAGTCAAAACGTTCTTGTTTTCTAACATTTCAGTAAATTGAAAAGTATCTTTCGAACTCTGGGTAAATACTTCTACACAGATTCGTTTTGGCTTCTTCGCTCACCACCAGATCAGTTTGTAGCGTACAAGTGTTGTTTGTAGCTTTCGTAGTATCAGTATTATCATGAAGGTGAAAGAGTAAAAACAAAAGACGAAAGCCTGACATTGGTTGGGTGAATATCTACAGTTAATTCAAAAAGTTTGAAAAGTTTAGTTGTAAACTATTTAGCAGCCAAATCGTTGAGAATGCAACTAATGCTTTTCTACTGACTTATACAACAGGGCACAAACTGAAAGTTAGTTTAGTGTAGTCCCCTCAGATAGCCGCATATTTTAACATAATATTTCGGCTGACATATTCTTTAGGGGCATAAAAGAAAGATTGGTTTCGTGAAAAAGTCATTTTGTAACCATACATTTTTTTGACACTTTTGTGTACAGTTGTAGTCATTTTATCTGTAATGTTTTTACTAGTATATTAAAGGTTGTTAGATTAATCTTTCTTTTGATTATATTGTACTGTGTAGGGTTTTTCAGCATCAGTAAACAGTTCTGTCTTGTCCTTCAATTTTTGTCTGGTTTGACAACTTTGTATCAGTCGTTTAAGTGGTTAGAAGATTTTTGCTATAAATCTAATAATGGTGAACCATTTACACTAATTGTTACAACTGTCACTATTGAACTGCGTCTTTATCTGTCTCAGCAAATGCCATCTAACAAAAATAAGAGCATTTGTAATCAACAGTCAATTGTGGAGTTGAATACTGGGAATAGTTCTATACAGCGCTTTCTTACAGATATCATGGTTGACTCGGTATGTTCCCTTTAACTTTATACATTTCCTCATTTTGATGGGTTTATTGTTAGTTATAGAGCATTATATTAAATGCTCAACGTTTGTTGACCTCAATAAATTTTGTGTCCAAGTTTCGCTCACTGACTGCGCTTCGTTCGTTCATTCATCAGAATTGGATTCTCTATATGGTTATTCAGTTGAATTGATAATTATTGGACCTTCTTTAAATGCTCTAAAATTTCGTCAGGGAATATGCATATTCATAGGTAAATTTGAAAGTGTCCGTTCCAAAGTCAGAAAATAATCTGTGTATATTTGAAAATCATCATTTCGGTTGCTATGGCAAAATATTCCCAGATATTTAAAAAGTTTTAAAATCCTTTAGGTAAAAGTAAAATGATTTTAAAGATTACAGCTAAAACCGTTTGATTGTAGATTTTTTCTGCATTACTTTCAGGCCGTAGTAGAAAATTGATCTTCAAACTTTGAAGTTTCATTAACTTTAATGTTGTTGTTTACTGGTTAGAGTTACTAACCTCACACACAACTTTCCCTCTTCCCAAGGCTTACCGCTGGCAGGTAAAGCAAAAGTGTGTCGGCCGGGAATTGAACGCCAGAGCCTTGATAATGGATGGTGAATCGTAATTGAAAATCTAATGCGATCTCTAATACACATCACTGTTTTGTATTAAACAAACGAAACATCGTAAAAGATGGAGTGTCTATTGGTATTAGCGTAGATAATAGTTTTTGTTTTTTGGTCTGTGTTTTGACTAATTATTGAAGGTTTATGAACAGGGTAGGAGGGTGGGTGGGTTGAAGAGACCTGATAGGATCCCACACACTTTGTTATTGTTCAATTATCTTAACGACTGTTAATCTCGTATATGTTGTATATCATCAATTCTCACACACTTTGTTATTGTTCAATTATCTTAATGACTGTTAATCTCGCATATGTGTTATATTATCATTTCCCAGGCACTTTGTTATTGTTCAATTATCTTAACGACTGTTAATCTCGCATAAGTGGTATATCATCATTCCCACGCATTTTGTTATTGACTATTACGACCAATTATTTCAAATACTGTTAGCTGTCTCTATTGGTTGTAAAATTGTATAAATACCATTTCCTAAATAAGTTTCTTTGTCGTCGTAGTTTGTCGTAGTTGTTGTACTACAATACACAGTCACAGACCGGACTTTGTCTTTTGATATTTACGTGGTTCGCTGAGTCGGAAGGTACAAGAAGCAGATAGGCATATTAGTCAGGCGCAGATAGAACAAGGCGACAACGTTCCTCATCTAATTCCGGCTACGGTTATAACAAGACCAGAATCTAGAAGTGGACCTTCAGCTGATTTATAAAAGATTGGGAAAAATTGCAGCAAGAGTAATTTTCTAAAGCCACTACAAGTGTTGCTTGTTATGCTTATTATATTTTACAGTAAGTCTTTCATAGCTTTATTGCTTTCTGTAGTATTATGCATAACTTTCAATTTTATTTTAAAAGGATCCTGTAATAATTAGCCGAAATATATCGGAAGCATGTTTCGTCCTTTTTCGATACAGCTTAAAAGAAATAGAGAAAGGCAATAACACTGACGATGTAAGTGCTCTCATTTGTATGCAAGTATGGATTTTTTTCCCCACTTGTTTTTGTTCTCTGAGCTGATTGATTTAATTGGGAAGCTTTCACTATCCTTCTAGACAACACCTTCAATGCAAGCTTTCATATGAAGTGAACTTGTTTGAATTTCCCACAAATGATATAATTGTATCTCGTGATAACCGTTATCATGATTGGCTCTTAATTTACATCTACCAGACTTCTGGAGGATTCCCTGGCATTTTCGGTATTTTATCTGTTTAAAATTTCTATGTTTTTCCAGTCCATATGGTATCTACATACATCGATATGAAGGAATACATATCGTATCTTTTGACAGCTAATTTGTGATCTTGGATTCTGATTCGAAGCGGCCGCTCACTTTATGGTGTTTATCACAGTTTGTGCAACTTATTTTGTAAATGGTATTGATCTTGCCTTCTTTTGCTGTTCGATCCTTTGGTCAGCACAATGTTGAATGAAGTGATTCTGTTTGCTTTTGTGCTGTGTCTATTTGAAACTGTTTTAGTATTCTTGCTGTTATTTCAGAAATTTTTTTTATATCTGGTAGGATGAGTATTTTTTGTGGTTTTTGACGATGGTATTTTGTTCGTTTGTGTCGTTCGTTTAATATTTTGATGGCATTTTCGATGTTAGTTGGTATTCTGGATTGAGAGTTCGTTCAGCCTTTTCTTTTTGGGATTTAATCATTTGTTATTACTTTTTAGTCTGATTGTGGACTTCGGTGATCATTACTTTTACCACTTGTTTTTCGTATTGTTTGGCTAATTTCCCCTCCGCAGGGCAGTTAATTGGTGGTTTTTATTTGACACTGGTTCGTAGAATATGTTGGCGGAGTCATTCTTAAGGAAAAATTATTGTTCCTTTGTGGACACAAGCCTTTTGCCAAAGTCCTCCCATTTTTGACAAGATAGAAGCGAATTTCGGTCGTAAGGTTTGAAATGATAGGGAAGATTTGTAGCCCAGGAGGATGATCTTGATTTCGTTGTTTGCTCAGAGAAGCCCGCACTGAACGTGCTATCTAGAAGGACAATGAAAGCTTTGCAATTGAATCAGCCAGCTCAAGGGGAACAGCCAAATTCGAGTCATCCACCTGAGCTGAGAATCTTCTCTGGTAGGAGTTTGATTTATAGTGCTGCCTTACTTTTAATGATGATTTGTTTTTGAGTTGGGGTTAGGACCTGACACCTTATTCTAACGAGAAGTTTCGGCATTCTAAGTGGCAACTGATGAGCTGAAGTACCTTATAGAAACAGTGTATTAACGTTGCGCAATCGCAGGGCTAAGAGGACGACTACGTGAGTCCGGTTAAATGGACCGTTTGGAGTAGTTTCTAAGACTGTGTCAGTACGATAATGTTACCATTATCTGCTACTGTTGCACCCGTGTTCACTATCAGTAGGATTTCATCATTGGATTCCCAACACAGTCCAAATGACCTACATTGTGATGCAACTGTTTTTGTTGTCTGAACGCTGTCTAAGCGATCGTTGTGCGATGGTGGTGCCTGCAGAAGCATTTGTTACAGCTAGTATAGCTGGGTTGGTTTACGATAATATGCGGTGTTGACCACCATGTCAATCGCAACAGCTATCAGTCAGGTCTAAGCGATAAAGATATACGCAAGGAATTTCAGATTTGCAATGACTGCTTATCATAAAATCGTTTCAAAATTCAGCATAAACCTACATACTCTCAGTATAACTAATGCTGTTAGGGGCAATAATGACAATCTGTACAGCTGCGAGGTTCTTCACCTTTTTGTGCAGTTCCCCTGATGTTTAGCTTGATATTTCAGTATTCGCTTACTAAAACTGAACATGACGTAACTTTTTATTGTATCTGACCATGACTGGTTATATCTTACGATACATTATAATCAAAGCGAAACAGACCAAAATTAACTAAGGTCGTGTGAATTTTAAGAGCGTAGTATTCTTGTGTAAACTTCCTGTATACGATTTGTATATACAAATAATGCTCCAATTGATGTTTCTTGTACAATATTACTTGTAGTTGACATTAAACCATTAACACTACAATTCTTTTTGATCGCTTCAAATCTGTCGGAAAGCCATTGGTGTAGAGCTCCATTACAATTTTTCAGCTTACAACTTTACAACCTCAGTCAGTGATTGAAATAACATTTTCTCACAATAAATTGTAACCTGCTAGCATTCAGCAATGTGTATAAAGGAGGATTCAATGGAAATAAATTTCAATTTGAATTTGATACTGGTGTCTTAGACGAAGGTTTTATCAAGTAAAAGTCAAGCGTCGTGATGTATAGAAACAAGTGTTGTTGATTTTCAAGGTTTTTAGATCTTTCCTGTGCGTCGGTGGCACAGCGGTTAGGACGCTCGCCGACTATGCTCATGGTCCGGGGTTCGATCCCCGGCCGACGCACTCTACCTCGCTAAGCCAATAGTAAGACTGGTAAAGAGGAAAGGTCGGTCATGAGGTTAGCGACTCCATCCTGTGAAAAATAAACACTGCTACAGAAGCTTCAAGCCTCTGGATTAAAGCCCTATGTTCCACTGGGAACGTGAAGGGATAAATAAAAAGATTTCTCCTATTGTTATTGTTTTGTTACGACTTTTTTCGATTTCGAGAGTTTACAAATACTGATCGGAGAAATTCAGTATAGGTGATGAGTCTGTTTTCTATTTTCAACAACTTTTTCTGTTTTCAAGACGGTAGATAATTGTGACATCGCGTCTACTGGCTGCCTAATTTCCTATGCCTCAGATGAAACAGTGAAGAATATATGGTTACAGTGCGTAGATACTGGTGAAGATCTACTAGATTTCTTGTTAGCTTACAGTGCTATGGTGAAACAGGTAGGACTTATTTCTTTTATGGTAGTAATTTTATTCATAATCATCACAGTTGTTTTTGGTTAACGCATATTTCACATGTTTTTCGGTGTTCAACGCCTCTACAGTGTTATTGGATGCGATTTGGACTGTCAGTCCGAATTAGAGGGTTATGCAAAATATCATTCATGGTTATTTTATCTAGCCTTATAACTAGGGTAGTGAAGTGATAGACTACTTTCACTTGTACTAAGTTCTCTTCCCATTCAGTCCGTATGATCTTTTTTCCCACCTTTGTGTGTTGGTGCTTCTGTGAATTTTATTCATGAAATAAGTCAGCAACTGTAATTAATTATCTGACTTAAGTCACTAGCTGGGCACCAATATTATTTCAACCTGATCAGATTAGTTGTTTGTTTCAGTGCTGTCCTGTTAATTTTCAGCAGTCTGAGGTCTTCATTTTTTTTGTATAAATATAACTATTACATATATGTTAGTTAATTAGGCATTGCAGCTTTTCCTAACGTTCTATAACACGAGCCACACTAATCGGTTAGGTCTAACAAAGATGTTTAGTTATCAAATTTGAAGTACGTGGGGTTAAGCTTTGCAAAACTGTGAATTGTTTAGTCATAGGGTAACGCACATTTGAAGTTCACTGTCACGTCTCCACTTGTATGCTCCATGTGAATTAGCGTGTTAACCTGCTATCTTTTATGGTGACATTAGTTGGTCAGTTGATTAAAATAACAAACCCTGTGTTATTCAACATTCTACTGTGCTATATTTAATATTACTTCCAGCTGTCTTCTTTATCTGCCCATGTAGTTTTTGTATATGACTGATTTTTGTGAAAGCTAAAGACTGCAACAACCAGATTGACAAACATGCCTTGCTATTAGTAAAACAGGATTATCAAGGGATTATCCACGCTGTGCATATCCCTATATGTTATTTGTGTCAGTGTAATTGTATGCTTTTTGACTTTCGATAATAGGAAGTTTTATGTCGTATTATTTTATTTCTAATATTTAGGAGTGCGATTACGACTCACATTTCTTATGGGATAATTCTACCAAACAAATCAAATCACTTGGTGCACTTCTGATAGAAGTATACTTCAGTTGGTTGGCAGTTTACTTCACCACACATTGTATGCAGTGTGAAAATGCTAGTGAGACTACGTCTGCTTTTGAAAGACTATTCGACAAGTATTTGGCTCCGATTTCACCAATTTTGAGTTCACTCATGTAGGTTATAAATTGTTTATGTGTGTCATTACAATTTATCTAACCTGTATTTTGAAATCTATGGAAAAGTTATGAAAAACATATATATATATATATACATATATATATATATATATGCGAAATGCTGCTCAATAGATCTATATAAACTGCTGCGGAGACTTAGGGATTTAGCGTCAGTATCCTTTAGTTAGCTATTTCCTTTCAAATTGAGATAATTTATTGTTCCATACAGGTGTATACTCTGTGTTAAAACTTGAATAAGACGGGAATGACATTGCGTGATAAACAAACACAACTTCCCCTCCACTCTACACAAATGGATAAGACTTAATTGTCGGTATGGTTTTAAAATAAAGATGGTTTGAAAACTATTAAATCTTCTAGTCAGTAGGTGAGTTAGTTTGGAGCATGAAATTGACATATCACACTGTAAAAATTGAAGTGGTGATATAAACATAAAGTTAGAGAGGTATTTCTGAAATACTATTAAAAAAGTGATGTATAAGAATGAAATGCAGTGAATCGGAAAAGATTCACTTCAGGTAAAATCAACAGTTCTGAATTACAGTTCAGACGAATAATGCATATATTGGTAGTTGACAACTGCAACCCTCGTTACCATGGTAAGCGTAGGTGTAAAATGCTTGTAGTCATTATTTAATTTACTCAAGTTATTATGGTAAGAACAATCATTGGTGCAAAATAACATGGATCCATTTTATTCTGCCTGTTCTCATCAGCTGCGTACAACCTGTAACACTTGACAGAACAGTTATAATAAAGTTTTAATATACTTTTGTTCATCTATAGGAATGAGTCCTCCAGTTAGGGCTGTTGTACGAACGTCATAGTAAAACAGAACCTAAGAATGATAAGATGTCTTAAAGTATTACAATATATACATACATATATATATATATATCAAGGGAGCGAAGTGTCATGTAAAAGAAATTGAATAAATCAGTTTGCTGTTAGAGTGGCGATAAGTCAGGGATATAACTGCGTAACCAGAGATAATAAAATATAGTGAATAGAACTGTCATAAAACTAAAGAATCTGAATTTAGTCTGTAGGAAATGGAATACAAAAATGATAATGTATTACAATGAGTAGAATTCAAAGGACCAAAAATTAAGTCTGAAATAAAATGTGATGGGGGGGAAAACAAATTCTCACAACAGTCCTTACTGAAGGACCGATTTCTGACGAGAAACACGAAGTAGAAATTTTATTTTAAGTGATTTTATTAAATGTTATAAGTTGTACCCAGCTGAAAAGAACCGATAAAATAAAATGGATCCGTGTTATTCTGCATGAATGTTTGGTCTTTCGCTGTTCATATTTATAAAGCGGAATTTGTGTATAGCGTTACTATGGAAAGTTGGGAAGTACTCTACCGATAGTGGTTCGTCAGCTCATGTAAAACAGTGGTTTTAGTGGTTTTATAACTTCATTAGCTCTCATACACTCAGCAATTGTGGTCTAAAATCCAGTAAGTAGATAAAAACTGTTTTCTTGTTTAAGCTGTACATATTATGAACTTGACAGCCGTTTAATCCAGGACTATCTACGGGTTGTACTGCTGATTCAGCTAACTGACATTTTTGTTTATCGAATAATTCAATAATTCCTATTGTAACATTAAGAACAGAATATTCAGCGAACTTATGTATATATATATATATATATATATATATATATAGTTTTTAAGAAATTATATTGAACGAGTAAATTGAAACAAATGAGTGAATACGTAAAATAATAATAGTATGAAATTCAATTAAAACGTTTGAGATTATAATTATAGGTAAATATCAACTGTCAAGTAGCAAAACAGGCGATATCTTACATAGAGTAGTCCATAGGATGTATAGATGTCGGAAAGGGGGGTATACAATTATAAGATTAGTAGTCAAATATAAAACGTTACATAACATGGTGTGAAATTCAATAAAATATAATTCAACATTGCAAAAAATATTTTGGATTTAGAGTGGAAAGTAGGAAAAGTGAAATAATACTGGAAACAGTTCAAAATGAGGATGGTAATAGTAACAATAATAATGGTTATCGTATTAATAAATGTTATTCCTTCTACGGCCAAGGCAGAAATAGGGATTGAACACACTTGTTTTGTACATAAGTGTGTCTGATTTAAATTCATGAACGACGAAGGCCTGTTCTGTCTTTAGAAGTTCAGAAAAAAGCAAACGTGACAAGTTAGCACGAATTTGACAGATGACCTTAAAATCATGGTCAGGGTTGGCAGAGTGACGGAAGTCGACCAAGAGCTTTAGAACAGAGCTTCGTACACAATTTCTAGTATACGTGTGGAAAGCGTTTTCTGCCCACGGCAAATGTACTTTGCTCCACAAGAGCAGGTGGACTGATGGATACACATGGAGGCGACCAGATGAGGGGGCTTATCGTTTTCAGAGACGGAGAACAACTTACACCTGGTGAAGGTCATTTGTAGTTTTGCAGCAAACAACGTCTTACTGACTGATTTAGGTAGACGAATTTTGAGGATATCTGAAGCCTGATCACCTTTGAATTCAGAATTCATGAATATGTTTTTTTTAGAAGTGAATCAGTGATCAGTTTGGATTGCTTATTTTTTCGTGTTTTTGCCAATAAATCGGTTCGAGTAACTTTTCTGCGAGTGTGGCCTTTAGGGAGGGGAGTTCTGAGTCAACGCAATCAGAGCTACAAATGTTTCTTATCCTTGCTTATTTATTCACGTTTTGCTTGAGTGAGTTGTCTTCAAATATTGTTTATCACCATTATCATGTATACTATTAAATCTGTATGGAAACTAGATTGCATTGTTAGAAATTGATTTCACTGAGTGACATGCACGCACACCTACATTAAAGGTTTGTTCATCTGTTTCTTTGGTATTTTGCAGTGTGTCTATTTACTTTAGTGAATTTTATTTGAGGTTATTTCTTAGCTACCACTGTTCATGAGGAGGAACAGTATCCCATCACTGTTTGAAGTATTTGCCTAGTGAATACTGACTTTGTATTCTGGTTCATCTTATTTTGTTCTGTTCTGCACACTTTATTTTCGCTTTGGTTTTTTCAACGCATCATCTATGCGTACTCTTGTTTTGGTATTTTTCTTAGGACATATTATTTTGAGAAACATTCCATGTTATCTGATCCTGAAAATCATTCTACTGACGATCTTAAGTGGATTCAATCAGTGGCAAACATTTGTAGTGTAATAATTCAATTATCTACAATAACTTCAAATCCGAAGTTTTCCACTGATTGGTTTCCATGGGATTCTGTTGACAAGCCATTTTGTGGTGAAATTGTTTGTAATTGGTTGAAGAAAATGTGGAATTTTGATTTTCTAAGTGTGCAAACATGCTTATCAAGTCCAGTTATAGAAATGCTTACTAACATTCTGGAACTGATTGATACTTGCGTATTGGATTCACAGATAGTCAAGTCGACGGAAAATATTAAAGAGAGTAATTTATACAAGTGGTTGGCAGAACCCGGCGAATTATTTCACTTATTCATTGGTAGTTGGATATCTTTCTACGGTGCTGTTGGTAAGTCGCACTTTTTTGTTTGCTTTTTAATTCTGTCTGAATATTTATAATGCATTTCATTTGAAAAAACACATGAAAACAACGTCGAACAACCCAAACGCAACATCGCGATAACACATAACGACACCCCGTGTGTGCCCCTATCCATTGCCTGTATTGGCAATGTGTTTTTTCAACTGAAATGCATTATAAATACCATATTTTAACGAAAAAACTTAGAAAAATGGCGGAAAGTAGACGTTTTCTGCAGTTTGAGTGAACACGTAATTTTCCTGAAATTTCGGTGTTTCTTTGCATGCGGAATGTTAAAATTATATGTAAATTGTTGATTGCGTTAATGAAAACGAAGTTAAATAGGTAAATGAAGTATATTTTGCGAAAATCCCAAGTGATGCTTTGAATCTCTGCGTTCTGAAAATTTGGTTGCAATCAGAACAGTTTACAGCTATAGAGGAGTGTTAGATGATTTATTCGAAACATAAAAGTGAAGAAACAAAGTTATTACTAAGATGTCCTTTCATTTTTAACCATTTAACATCTGCAGGACACACGTCACATCCAACAGTGTCTCCCTCTTACAAAAAGCAAACATAACACAACCACCATTTCCACACCCATCTGTTGCGACTAACTGAATAAGACTGAATCTTCAGAAATTACACCAGTATCAGTAACTTACCCAAGCTTATTCGTTTTGTACGTCGAATCAATGCAAATTACGTCTGGAAAATTGTGAAAAAACTTAATTTGTTGATGCAGGCTGAAACATATGACATCAATCTCTCCATTTGTAGTCTGTGTACGAACTTCTCCTGTTGATGCCAACAGTTCCAGAACTTCATCCATACTTTTCATAACTAGAATGATATTAACCGATTAATTCGAAATATGTAAATCACCAAACACTTGTTCTCTCAATTTTACAACATCCTTTCGCGTCAAATATTTTCCAAATTTAGAGAAAACTGCATGCCTCAGTTGAGCAGTTGACATCATATAGTTCACCAAAGTATTCACTTCAGTCTTCTCCTCATCAGTTAACCAATGTCTGCTGCTGTCAACCATCATAAATTCTTTGGTACATGGATAGTTATGTAGACCCTTCATATCACCTACTTCCAGACCTCTATTAACTGAATTAACACAGAAACTGGATGTACAACCCGTATACTTAAAACTTATAAAACACAGACTAATAACTCACACATACACTTACGGTGTTAATGGCCTAACTCCTTTGGAACGAGTTCGCCGTATTTGACCAAAGGTACAGACATAAATTACACGTTTGTAACGAAGAATAGGATTAGTGCTATCTACATAACTGCTTCTCACAACATAATGCGTATGCGCAAGCTTATTAAACTCTTTAAAGGCTTTCTCAAATGCATCCCAGCTCTCAAAATGTCTACCCTTCAATATCCGGTTAAATACTTCCTCAGTCATCAACCACAACACAACTTTCACGCCTTTTTCACCAGTTTACACTACTTACGTATTGCCGCCAAGTAAACGCCAGCTTGAAATAACCAACCACAACAAGCAATAGTGACCTTGAAGTGCTCAGCCTTTCCATAAGGTCGTGTGTGCCTAATATATACACAGATGAATCATTAATATTCACATACATAACAAATTTGGCGACGGGTTTGCTGAAGATGGACCCACTGCGTTTAGAGAAACTAATGGAACAGCAGCTAAAATTGATGGAAATGCTTGCTGGTCTGCAAATATCACGCTCTGCTGATTCATCTACAGCCAACGACAGCATTGGTAGTAGCATCTCAGAATTCGTTTATGATCCAGATGCGAACGTAACATTTGATACCTGGTTTCGCAGATATGAAGACCTATTTCGAGTAGACTTTGCGGATAAAGATGATGCCTGGAAAGTACGGCTTCTACTTCGTAAATTGGGAGCAGATGAGCTAGATAAATACTGCAACTTAATTCTGCCACAGAAGCCCAGTGAAAGATCATTCAATGAAACTGTCCATACCCTTCGTCATCAGTTTGGTGACCAGAGATCGTTATTCAACATTCGATATCATTGCATGAAACTAGTTTTGAACGAAAATGATGATATCCATACTCAGTTGGGTATAGTCAATCGCACGTGTGAACGTTTTAAATTGAAATCACTCTCAGAAGACCAGTTCAAGGTATTGATTTTCATTTGTGGTTTGCAGTCTCCCAAATTTGCTGATATACGCACACGTCTATTAAATCGTCTGGAACAAAATCCACGAATGACTTTGAAAGACGTCGGTGAAGAATATCAGCGTTTAATCAACATTCAAAACGATACCGCCTTGGTGCAGTCTGGCAGCCAAAATGCAGCAGAAGTGCATGCGGTGCATCCAGTACCGTCGACATCAACCGCACCGCGTCATCCTCAGCATAAACCACCATCAGCCTGCTGGCACTGCGGCTCCTGGCATTTCGCAAACTTGTGCCCATTCAAACAGCATAAATGCCGTCAATGCCATACTGTTGGTCACAAAGATGGCTACTGCAAACGCAACAACCAACCCAGATCTCGTAGTCGACCCAGACGGCGCAACAAGCTCAAGTCTTTGGGTGTTACTGCCACATATCATATTAGTACTCCAGCACCTCGCAAATATATCGATCTGACGATTAATACACGGCCGGCACGCCTACAAATCGACACAGCATCCGATATTACAATCATATCAAAGAAATTATGGCAGAAGTTGGGATGCCCTGCCATAGAGAAGACAAATCAGATAGCAATTAGTGCATGTGGTGGAAGACTTCGATTGAATGGAGAAATTAAATGCAGCGTTGGTTTTCGCGATAGTCATTTCATCGGCACATGCTACATCAATAATTCAAACCTTGACCTCTTGGGTTTAGACTGGTTCGAGAAGCTACATCTGTCAGAGATTCCGTTAAGCAGTGTATGCCATAAGATCGAAAGTATTGAACCCTCAACAAGGAAGCCAGAAATCAGAGACAGATATATTAGACCTAAGCCCATTAGAAAGAATGACGTGATTAATGAAAAACCAACTTCGAATCGTCACAGTGAGTATGGCTGTGCCAAAAGTGCTTCGATGTCTGGTAGCAACAAAGTAGCAACTGTTAGCTCCAGTAAGAGAGGCTCTGCTCAAAAACTGAGAGTGATGTCTGTCATGGCAGCCAAAGATCCGCCGCGGGAGCCACCGAGAGCATGGCCCACATCAAAACCATGGTCCCGCCTACATGTGGATGTTGCTGGGCCGATAGAAGGTATATACTACTTGGTTCTCGTGGACTCTTACTCAAAATGGCCGGAGGTAGTACAAGTGACACCACCTTCTAGCAGCAGAACAGTATCAGTCCTGGAAAAGATCTTCGCATGTCACGGTATACCAGAAATCATCGTATCTGACAATGGCAGTCAGTTCACCTCACAAGTGTTCCAGGAATTTTGCAAGAGAAACGGTATACAACACGTGCGGACGCCACCTTATCACCCTCAATCCAACGGTCAGGCAGAAAGATTTGTCGACACCTTCAAACAAGCGTTGTTGAAAGCAGGGGGAGGGGCGAAACCGGAAGCAATACAAAACTTTCTTTTTGTATACCGAACTACACCACTGGCAGAACAGAAGAAAAGCCCTGCAGAACTTCTAATGGGTCGAATGCTACGAACTCATCACCACTCCATATTACCATCTTCGTCACATCAACGAAGAAATAGTCTGAAGTATTACCGCAAGGGTGATGCCGTCTATGTGCGCGATTATCGACCGAGGAACAGAAAATGGGCCGAAGGCTTGGTAGAATGTCGACATGGAACTCTCATGTACAAGGTTAAAGTTGGGGATGAATGGTGGATTAGACATAAAAATCAGATACGACGTCGATATACTACATCCCAAGAACCTAAATTGCCACTAGAATTACTACTGGAAACTTTCAAAATATCACCAGTCAAACCAGAAGCAAAACAAGAGATGCTACCCAGCCGACGATCCCAGCGCAAACGAACACAAACAGTTCATTTCCAAATCGACCCCAAGGAAAAAAGATACTAAACTGGTTGCAAGATTCTTTTTTAAAAGGGGGAGGTAATATATACACAGATGAATCATTAATATTCACATACATAACAGTGCCCCTATCCATTGCCGTCAAATACAACCTGAATGATAAACTGAATAAGCAATAAGTGTGAAATAACTTAAGCATTCTTTAACTGCATAGCCAGTTCGTTTTATAAGAGTAAAGTAACATGTTGGCAGTTGAGATTGTGTGCAGGGTTTACGAGAAATTAGAATAGTGAATCACAACCAAAACAGAAATATAATATTGTAAACAGAAGAACGTTCCCGATTTTTTGGGTAACAGGCATAAGTGGATACGACTGCATGGTTACGTGCAGTGCTGTTCAACTGAAATGAAAGATCGTTACAGGCAACGCCCTACCTCGCAGGCTACTTGCACGGCGAATACCCACACAATGTCGGAATAAACTGAACAAAGCCGTCATTGTGCGTTTAAAAGAAGAAGGTTGTAAAATCCTCTGTATACCCATGGGTTTCCACAGTGGTTTTAGTTGTGTGTAGACTATCGTGAAGTGATACAACTAACTAGACGAGACTGTTTTCCCCTCCACGTATAGACAACACTTTTTATGCCCATTTATTCGAAATTCCCAGGAGAAGGATTACGGCTGTACAATAAGTTACCGAAGCCTTTGAGAAACTTAAAAACCCTCTGTGTTCCCCTTCTATAATGGCATACCCCAGTGTTTCTGACCAGACAGGTCCCTCCATCTCAGATACATATCCTAGTGACAGTGGTACTGGGGCTGTCCTTGAGCAAAGACACGGGTAGAGTGGTAGCCCATGCAAGTCGTGCACTCAACAAGAGCAAAAGAAATACTGTGTGGGAGATCAAAGAAATTCGTCAATTCAGTTGAACCTCAACCATTTCGCCTCAAACGGTCAATTTGTTTGATTATGCTGAATGAATTGTATTTCGAGGGATTGTATTTCTAGGAAGAGGAGAGTGGTTGTTGTATTGTGGTATGGGTGTGTATCCTTTTATTTATTTTATACTATCGGTAATAAATGCATCCTTGAATAGCCGTAAGTAATAAAGTCTCCACTCATTAGTTGGGATGGTGTTAAAACCAGTCTGGTCACTTGCCTAGATGGGCCAGACTGAAGAGTCAGCAGGTTGTATGGCCAAAGTGCTTGTCTAGCAGGACAGATAACCACATGACATTCATAAGTGTTGTTTCTAGTTAGAGCCAACTGGAAAACGAACTCCAAGTCTTTCCAGCAGTGTCGATACTTTCCAGTACTGACGGACCATCAAGTCCTTAGCTGACCACACAAATTCAAAGAAGCTAAGGGTAAGATTGTGAGATGGCAGGAAAACTCAGAAGAGTTCTATTTCGGGTGCAAATACGGACCTTGGAAAAACCATGGGAATGCAGATGGGCCGTCAGGAAAACCTCTTGAGTATTACTATAACTGCCTGACAAACAGCGAAGCACAAGTTTCCCTTCTTCAGATCGAGTCACATTATTCCTTTGGCCGGCTCAAACTTCAGTCTAATGCACCTGAATTTGCTCTGGTCTATTAATGTGTTCAAAGCGAGGGCGAACGATCGAGAGCCCAGAAAATAAAGAAGCTTGGATAAAAAACTCCATGTTATTGTGGTCTCTACGGGACAATTTAAAATCACGGACAAATATGTTTTATTACTAACGTGAGTCTAAATACACTCACCAAGATGTGGTAATGTTGTTGTTACTGAAACAGACCAGGCAGGTTTAGCTGAAATGATGGAAGCGGCTAAAGGCGTTCCTGGTAGCCCCATCACAGAGGCCACACAGAACACTTTTTGTAAATCCTAACAGATATGTCAAGCTATTGAGTCTCCACACTAATAATAATAAGGCACCCTTAGAATCTCTTATAACTAGCCATCCAAGTGACTTAGTACAAGTGGATTTATTTGGTCTTCTCCTAGTAACATCTAGAAATGATAGCTATACACTATTCATGGTAGATTTCTTCACCAAATGGCACGAGGCTATCGTTATTCCCCAGTTTGATGGCGTAACCACTGCTGAATCAGATTTCAATCTCTGGGTCAGACACTGGGCTACTCCACATTAGTCACCCTTAGACCAAGGGTCAAACTTCAGAAGTGCGGTTGTCAACAAACTCTGTCTCAAATTGGATCCCCGAGAAACACACATTATTGCACACCACCCACATAGAAGTTGGTTAGATAAACGAACCGGTTAGACACTTGAATCACTTTTGCAGGAATCTGTGTGTGATATCCGGACAAGAACTCCGGTTTGCAATCATCTGACTTCAAACACACCAGGCGGGTATACAGTGGTATCATCCGAATACGTAAGCAAACTTAAACGGAGCCTTTACAAGGTACAACAGATGACCACAGATGCACCCTAAACAAATCCTAGACTCCGAAAAGAATATTGTGATAGAAACGCATATGGATCTCTTGAAGAAGCGGGAGACCAGGAAATGATACCACCTAGAAGAAGAGCTTTCAGATTCCACAAACGATGGAAAGGAACATTTATGGATACAGGTTGATTGAACATGCCGAATCCAGGAGTCTAATCACAATCACAGCCTAGTAACGTATTTCAACAGTAGTGTAAGGCAACTTAAGAAGAAACGTTCAGGTGGTTTTCTTATGTTTATATCGTGTGTTTGTCTGATTTCAGGTCGGCTTCATGGTGTGTGAATTGGTGTCCCAAGGATATAAGACAGCATACACATCCTCTGGGTTCATCGTTCAACCGTACTAGCCAGTTCTCTCCAAAGAACTAAAACGAAGTGTTCTTAAAGTTAAACTAGCCAAAATCAAAATCATTTCCGCCAAATAACTGCAATCTTTGGTTATATATTGCTCATCGTAGCACACTCCCAGTTAATTCATTCTTTATTTTGTTATCCGTACCTAGAAGTCACGTAGTCTGCTGATTAAGTTGTTATTGTCCCAACTGTTTTATTATTCTAACCACTTCATCTTGTACTGCTTACTATACAATCAGTTTGGAAGCTAATTTATTTCTTAATTACTCCCTATTTTTCCAGAATTTTACATTGTGTTATCCACTTGTTTCATGTCTGCAAATATTTTACCCTATAAATATTGCAATAATTTTCTTAGTTAATTATCAACTCTCCGACATATTGATATTGACTAATTACTCTTAACAGAATTATCAACACTAGATCGGTAAATTTTGTACTAAAATAACTATATAAATGTGAGTAGAGCCGTAGATCTAAACCTAACTGAAAGGTAAATATTTCTTTACTCGTTCTTTGTGTCTTCTCAAAGTCTAAGTGGGCATTTTGGCTGTAGGCGAAAAATACAGATTCAGACTCTGTATTTTACCGCAAATTGCATTAAGAACAATACGTTGTAAACTGGAACAAACGATAGACTGCATTCAAGCATTAATACCAAAGCTGTTAAAAGGACGTCTACACAGTATGTAACAGCTAACAACAGTTCTCACTACACCGATCAAAATGTTTACTTCATTGTAAGTCCATCTTACCTGGCTAAGACCTGCTAGTAAACACTGTACTGAGAATAATACAACTTGTAAATATGAGTTATTTAGATCACTCAAAACAGTGAGATTTAACTCAACAGACTAAGGTAAAATAAAAATTTACTGAATGCAAAATAATCTACCAGTTAGATGACAGAATGAGGTGACCATTATACCAGCAATGACAACTAAATCATAAAACGAACAAAGCTCATTGAATTAGCAACACCAAGTAATTACACAATATTAATTAATCTTGCATCAGAATATAATTTATTCGGTTTTCACAGATTAAACACATTCATTGTTACGGACTAAAAACTTTACACTTTCAATGATAAGCACGTTAAGATAAAACCTTAAAATTGAACTCTTTGTCTTCAGGCAGTTTTTTTCCTATTATCCTCATTGTTAACCGAATTATTGCAGTAGTATGAGTCTTGCAAGGCACCGGAGAATTTTCTGCTTAGGATTTCACCATATAACTTATTATAATTGTCACCATAATACGTTGGTTCTGACAGTATTTTGAACAAAGTTTGTGTACGCCGACTAGCTGGTGTAATGTTGCATATCGTTCCCGTGAACTTATCTTGAGCACCAATTAATTTCTTACCAAAGCATAACGCCTTTTTAACCAAGCCAGATCCTGGTTTTAGACCGTAGGCTGAAGTATTTGACATCAACTGTTGTGGTGTGGTCTTTGAAACAAATCCCACCTGACTAAGCGTTTTTCGTACATATAAATTTTCCTCTGGCCCTGTCCTCGTTGTGGAAGGGTGACGGGAATACTGAAATAAAAGAAATTCACCAAAATATGGTTATGAGTTGGGTAAATATACGACTATCTACCTACAACATCTTGAAATTCATACGTTAGAGTCATAATAATTTTTTTCAGTTAAAAGTCACTCACTGCTGTACCTATTTGCAGGTTTTACTTTCAACTAATATAATCAGTCCTAAAACAGGTTTAACTTCATAGTGCTAGTGGAGTTAGACAAAGCTCTGTCTTCCAAATAATTCTCTTTGAGGCCAACCAGACCTTCAGTGTACGGTTATTTCTCTCTGTCAAACCATTCGTTAACAGATGATATGACGTTGTTCTAATTTTCTTGATACCTAGCGGTTGCGAACGGAATGTCAATTCTAAACTTTCAAAACAACGTCGCTGAACTGTCAGTATCGTCTTTGATACACCGTGGTCTGCGATGATATGCCACACTCCTGCAGTAATCACATTTTTCGCACGTAGACCCGGAACCTCGTTGGTTTCTCCCCATTGTGTGCAATGTATATAAACTCAGTATATTGTGGGTTAGAAGGGAAAGTTTATCTATGCAAATATTTGTTCCTCTTTCACATGTAAGAAAAAGTCTTTTTTTTCTAAAGAATGGATACTGAACAAAGAGTACTCTTTTCGATAACTTCATCATCAGGCTCTACAGTTATTTATACATTATAGTGAATGAATACTTACTTTACTTTACTTCGGCTATCTCCTACGAGAGGATGAGCCGGCTTCATGAACATCTCGAATCATCGCTGCCCAGGCGCGGCGATCTGATGCAAGGTTTTGCTACAGGGTTATCCAATTCTTGTTCCGTAGACGGTTTGTAGCCCCAGGCACTCCATATCAGCCTTGACTGTACCAAGCCATGTTTTCAGCTGTCCACCCTTGCGACATCGCCAAGATGGTAATGGCGAGGGATTTAGAACTGATTTGACCAGATCGTCATCTGGTCGGCGCAGAACATAGCCAAACCACCGAAGGTGACGTTGTTGGACCAGTACTGGAATTCGGTTGATGTTGTAGCAACGACGACGCACTTCTTCGTTGGAGAGTTTGTCCTGCCAACGAACATGCAGAATGTACCTGAGGCACCAATGGTCTACTACCTCAAGTCTGCGTACATCTTCCGCGCGAAGAGGCCAGGTTTCACAGCCATACAGGAGAACGGATCGTATGGAGGCTTGGTAAACCCGAATTTTAGTCCTGAGACTGATTTCCCTCTTGCTCCATAGAACGCTTCTCAGCTGAAGAAACGCATTCCGGGCGTTGGAGATCCGTGCATTCACTTCGTTTTTCGCTTGACCGTTGGGAAGCATTATGGATCCCAGATATCTGAAGGATGGCACAATTTCAATAGGTGCTCCATTCAGGTATAAGATTTCATCATTGCTGGTGGATGTGTTCGAAAACATTTTGGTTTTGGAAGTGTTGATTTCCAAACCGATGGTAGACGCGAGGTGGTTTATCAGATCGAGCGCCTGTTGCATATCGGGGAAGTTTTCAGCTAGTAACACGACGTCGTCGGCGAATTCGAGGTGGGTTATGTGAATATCGGGCGAAAGTTGGACTCCGTGGTGCTCGGTTAGGGCGTGCCGCAAAATCCAATCAATTGTGAAATTGAACAGGATGGGGGATGCTGGATAACCTTGCCGGACACCGCTGGTTACCTCAAAAGTGCGAGACTCTTCACCGTTCACTCGGACTCGAGCTTTGGTGTTGGAGTAGTATGACCTGAGCAGGTTGATTAGCTTGGTCGGAACTCCGTCGAGCTCCATTAGATACCAGAGTGCTCCTCGATCAACTGAGTCGAATGCAGCTCGGAAGTCGATGAAACAAGCAACCGTCGGCTGTTGATATTTGTCCCTGTGTTCCAAAATTCTTCGCAGTGTGAATAATTGATCAATACAGCCTCTTCCAGGTCGAAATCCGGCTTGATTTGGCCTTGTTCGCACGTGGCGTTCGGCAGCGAAGCGGTTCAGGAGGATGGAAACAAAAACCTTAGCAGCGATATCAATCAGACTTATGCCTCGGTAGTTCTCACATATTGACCTGTCTCCCTTTTTATGGAACGGTAGCAAAACTGAGGTGCTCCAATCGGAAGGAATGGTTTCGGAATCCCAAAATGAGCAGAACAGCGAGTGCAGCGAATCGATTAGCGCTGGAGTGCAGGCCTTGTATATTTCTGGAGGTAGACCATCTTCGCCCGGAGCTTTCTTGTTTCTGAGTCTGTTAATTGTTTTAGCTATTTCGGTTGGAGTGGGTGGATCGCAGTCAACTACGTAGGGTGTTGGTAAGTGTTGTATCGGTCGATGAGGCGGTTGACCAGCGTTGCGATTGAGTAGCTGCTTGAAATGTTCGGCCCATCGTTCCATCTTGCCATTGGTGTCCGAAATAATTTCTCCTGATGCTGTGCGTAACACAGCATGGCTGTTAAGGCGTTTGCCAGATGATAGGCGTATGAGGCGATAAAGTTTTCCGAAATCACCTACATTTGATGCTCCTTCCATGTTAGTCGCCACATTAGACCAATAGCGATTTCTATCATTCCTAGCAGACTGTGTTGCTTTGCGCCTGAGGGAGCGATAAACTGGAGACTTTGCTAGGCGAGTGTCTCTGGCTTGCGAGGATAGATGCATAGTGTGCTCTGAAATCCAGTCTTTCTGTTTGTTGGATGTGGTACCCAAATGCGACATTGAAGCTTTAGAGACTACTTCTTTGAAGTGATTCCATCGTGTCTCAGGTGTATTAGAAGATGTGGATATTGGCTCATCTGCGGCGTTTAGTTCGGCGATAGGATCGGCAGTCCTCCACCGAGCTGATCCAGCGTGAGCGCACTAGGATGTAGTCAATCTGATGTGCAGTGCGACCGTCGTTCGAATACCAGGTGAGAAGATGTTTTCTAGGGTGTTGAAATCGAGTGTTGGTGATATATAATCGATTGTAATCAGAAAAAGCTAAAAGTCTATCACCATTACGGCATTGCTGATCGAGATCGTGTTTGCCTAGTATATGTTTTGTCGCGTCGTCTGAAGGGCCAGTGCGGGCGTTCCAATCGCCGGCTACTATGAGAACGTCACGCTTTGGGATTTTGTTGATTGCCTCTTGAAGATTGTTATAAAATTCGTCTTTGATACTTTCATCAGAGTCGAGGGTTGGGGCATAGACAGCGAGAACAGAAATGTCGAGCGGGGAACCCTTGAACCTAGCGATTGCAACTCTGGAGTTGACCGGTTCGAACGATATTAGGGCATTATTGGCTTTGTTACTGAGAGCAAATGCTACCCCATGTTGTCCCGAATTATTCTGGGGTCCACTATGAAGCAACCAGAATGAAGAATCTGTTCCAGGTACGGCTATTCGGCGGGAGCCATGATCGGGCAACCTCACTTCAGATAGACACGCTATGTCCACCTTGTAGTCGTTTAAAGAACGCATGGTGATAGACTGGCTACCAGGGTCCAACAGCGTCCTAACATTCCAGCAGCCAACAAATAGTTGGTTTCTAAGTGTTAATTTCCCAGCTGGCTTACTTTTCACACTGGCCACCGGGTGAGCACAGGGCGCGTCGCTTACCGGGAACGCCGTAGCATGGTGAGAGTCGTTTGTAAGAGAGTTCATGAAGTTTCATGGGAATTTGGTACGAGTGAAGTCCCCAGAATCGCTCGGCCTTTTGTTCGAGAGTGCAGCTCTAGCCTTTACACAACCAAGTGTGACCTACAAGGCAGTAGGAGTGGAGTAAGGAGTCCACTATCCATTGGCAGCGGGCGACCGGAGTCCGGTTCATACGCCTTTTTGAATGGGGCCAAACATCCAGGACATCCAACACGCCCTTTGTCCATACGTCTGCCGGTGAGCTCCAGTGGGCTTCATACGCCAGTCGTTGGAGGTTTGGAATCAGAGTTTAGCCATCTCCCCTAGACTGTCATCCAATGGACAGTCAACCCGGTGAAGAGCGCTGGGCATCCGCTTTCGCCCTCTCATTTTGGTGAGAAATACCGCCACGTGAAGGCAGTGAGTAGGACTTCCTCAGGAGAGGCTATGTAAGACGCCCGGTCATATGGGAGCATTTGAAGAGGTGTGCGGAGGGGTGGCCAACCCGCAGCGCAAGGCACCCACCCCCGACCATCCTGAGGCTTTTGGAGGCGAATGAATGAATAAGTATTATCATTATTATTATTATTATTATTACTATTATTATTATTATTATTATTGTATCCTTTAATTCCTAGAGGAACATAGGGCTTCAACCGTGCGTCTCCATTGGGTTCGGTTCTCTGCTAGAGTCTTCACCTGGCTCCATGTCTGCCCACACGTTTTCATCTCCTCTTCACATGACCTCCTCCAAGTCACCCTCACCCTTGGACGACCAACTCACCGCTTCCCTTTCGGGTTCCATTCGAGCGATGGCTTGTCTAGTGATGTCACTTGATGGTTTCCTCAGAGTATGGCCAATCCACCTCCAATTCTTGCTGTCTATTTGTTTCAAAATCGGTTCCTGGTTGGTTCGCTCCCAAAGATCTCTGTTGCTGATCTTTTCTGGCCATCTGATCTTGAGTATTGAGCGAAGACAACTGTTAATGAAGGTCTGTAGTTTGTTTGAGATGCTCTTTACGACGCGCAGTGCAAATCTCTGATCCGTATAGTAGCACTGACTTCAAATTGGAGTTGAAAATCCGGATCTTGTTTTCGATGCTGAGTGTTGTTGACCTCCACACAGACTTAAGAGTAGTGAAAGCTTGTCTTGCTTTGATATCCTCATCAGTTCCGCCTGTAGTTGAAACAATGCTTCCCAAGTAGTTAAAGGAGGTAGTTTCTTTCAGGTTCCTCCCATTTATGTTGATTGTTGTTTGTTGTTGTTGCTGCTGTTGGTGGTGTTGCCCAGGATAAGTATTATGAACAACATTAATGTTTTTTTCTCCTAAAGGTATGCTATTTTGAATATTTATTTATTAACAGTTGGTCAGAATGAATTTTTGAACATGTTTGTTGTGTCATGTATACCTATATAAACCAATCTTTACTAACGATACAGGAATGTATGTTATGGTTTTACTAAATGAGAATAAAATTCATTAGAAGCACCACGTAACAGCACTGTAGTTGTCCATTCAAAAAGCATCTAAATGAAATAAATTCCAATCAGTCATTGCAATAACTTACTTCATTTCTCAACAATAAGGAGATTATCTTCGAGTTTACACCATCTTCAGGGCGAGTTGAATAAAACCTATCAACAGACTCCCAAGTAGCAGTTTTAGGTGGTATCTCTCCATCCGTATTCTCACTGCTAATTATATCGTAATTTGAAACGACAGATTTTATGTTGTACAAAGTATTGTAAGTACTAATATTAGGAACGGAACCATTCATCATTTTTTTGCCTGATTCAAATATTCGCATAAAATGTGGAGGAAAATTATTCGACTCTTCACAAGAGTAATCATCTGGCACCTTTTTCATCTCCTGATTGGTTATATAAGCATTAGCTTCATCATCAGACAAAGATGATGATAGTCTTAAATCATTTTCATAAAAATGATTCATATTATGAGTAGTCCAACGTTCACAACTACTGTTCTCATTACTTTCATTTGCTTCAGAGAAATGACCAAGTTGTGACTTTGGCAGGCTTTCTGTACTATTTACTTCCAGTGAAACCGATTTTTTCCATGTCATTAGTAAAGCCTGAAATAATCAACAACAAAAAAACTACGCATAAAGAAACTTCATTGTTGTGATTGAACTAATTGAAACGCATTTCTTCCCATTTTGCTACAACCATATGAAGTAGTGATGCACAGTAGATATGATAACAAGTGGTATCAAGGCAATTCGCTAATGCTCAGTTTTTACAGTTAACAAATATCCAGTGCAATTCATTGATCATTCATTACTATCTAAATAATTCAGTATAAGGAGTTGTACCATTTGGATATTTTTCACACACTTTCATCATATCCATCAAAGTTAAAAGTACACCGTGTACTTTGATATGTACCTTCAGATATTTTTAAATCATTTTTATTCCCTGCTGGTAAATCACATCATTACTTTTTTCTCTGGTGCTAGTATTAAGCGATTTAAGTAAGTTCCAGCCTTTTTGCTAGGAATACTATGACGCTTACCTATGAACTCAGTAAGTCCCTATTAGTGATATTGTGGTGAGTGCTACTTATAATCCGATATAAGTAGTATATCAGGAACGAAGTAACAACATGTTTGACACACTGGAAAGAGCAATCAAAGAAGAGAACCATGAGAAGAATGTTGCCATATGATGCAGAATCCAAGAAGCTATCGAATGAGACGATATTCGACCAATTTGTCAAGGATGTGGTAAAGATGTGCAAATAGCCGGTTGAGAATATGGTATTCCAAATTTAGCTATGTACCATACATTTCACCAAATAAACATTCCTTTCAGTCTCCTCAGTCTTGTCTTCTTTACAATATTGCGAAAACGCTAATAAAAATATTAAATATGAGAGGAATGTTTTCTCAAATGCTGTTATTTTGCACTTAAAGTGACACTTTTACTGTCAAACCAAGAAGAATATGACAAATACCCAAAGGAGGTCAAAATTACCTAAATAATACTTGAATATCAGAAGTGAAAATGTAATCCCTACTTTATTCTACTTCGAATAGACTCCATTATTCTACTGAGCAAAAGGTGTTCATTCGGTACTTTAACGTAACAATTGTTTTTAAATTTTCATAATACTTGGCATTATAAGAGTAGACTAAATTTCTGTTCAGATTTTTTGAAATAGTAAAACAATGCAAAAAGGCTCCACTAACTACATATTTCAAGAAATCTCTAGAAATGAAACTAAACTCACTTGTGTTGCCAACATATTTTTGGACGTTGTTTCAATCACAGACCATGCATAGTCAATATCTTCGATGCAGGCGTTTTCACGACAAACAGCGAATCGAACAAAATAAATATCTCTTGCCATTGAAGGAATAACATGAATTTCACGCTTTTCATTAATGGCATGGAAAAAGCACTGGTTCAGTGTATTAGATCCCTTTTAACAAAAAAAAGCCATCCACAGTGAATAAACAACAAAAGAAAGAGTAATGCTAATTTAGCTATTCTATAAAACTGCTAAACCGAGTAGAACCCAAAACAGAAATACTGTGCCAGTAGAATATTCACATATCTGAGTAATTCTGCTGGAAAAGCTGTGGTTTACACAACTAAACGTCCAGAAAGATCTTGTTTTGATTTTCTTGACATACTTCAGCGTGCACGTCTTTTAGAAAACTGATGTTCGAACTAGTAGTCAGAACTTGGTGAAGGGGACAGGAACTTCCTAAACTTCGAAAATTTTTTTAATGTTTTCATATGATTCAAGATAATAATATGTATAATAGAAGGATTTGATTTCATTTAATGAAATTAGGAGTGGAAAAACTTCGTTATGTAGACAAAACAGCGTTACAAAATAATCTAAATGAATGGGTATCTTCAAGAATGTAGCCAGCTGTAAAGTATTCATTTATGAAAATATGACTAACAGGAGCTTTATTCTCATTTATGGCCAGTATGAAAAAAATTTACATTTGTAACACTGGAGCGAATAATTAGTAACCTAATATCTTATAGGACTACATCAGTTAAATTTATTTGTAATTCACCTCACTACTTTAAATTTTGCTGTTAAGCGTTCTCCCTGCCATTAATGAGTGATACAATTCGTGTTAAGTATTTCATTCAGTCTCGTTACATGCCTATAACTAATTCGAATGTTAGTATTTAAGTGGAAAGGTTTCTCTACCTACCAACTGACTGTGTTGCTTCGCTCTTCATTTCGTGTCTGTGTCACATTTTTTAAGTCTTTATTCATCATATACCGTTTATCTTAGCCAGTGTGGTTGGCATCTGACATACTCCCGAGTTACTTACTTTGTTCATGAAGGTAATTATCTGATCATTCCTATTGACAGTGTTATGGTCCCTAACAGAACTCGCCACTCACAATTTTCACACTGACTAAACTTTCCCTTTAGATATGTTTATAGTACCGCATTATACTAAGTCTATCACGATCCCCAGTTAGGTCGTCAGCACAGACTAATGATGTTTCCCAAACTAAAATAAGCCCCCTGTCTACTGCTTCCGGATCTTTGATGATTACCTTTCGATATTCATAGACATAACAACTGAAGTAGCTGCTGGTCTAATAATAATAATAATAATAGGGTTCTTTCAGACTATATATGTCCAAACCAAGTTCACTTTTAACAGTTTGAAAAAATTCGGGCATTGGGTATATGATATTCATTACAATAAAGGTTTTTGTATTCTTTCAGACTATATAATAATAATAATAAAATAATTGCAGAGTAGTGAACAGTCAGCTTCAACTGTCTCATGAACCTAAACCAGGAAATTGAAATGAATGTTCAGTAGATTGTTGTGTTCAAAATGTTGCCATACGCCATTTAACCTATTAAAGGCTTGTTTTCAACTCCTCGCCACTTCGACTAACACTATCCAAGAAAATCACCTCTGGTTCCTCTCATGCAAAACTTGTTCTACACATTCCAGTAGATTAAAGTTTAAGAAACAATCACTTATAAAGTTAACATTGGGATATTTTTTAGCTAAACACAAATCCACTGGTCAATTTTTAGAAATAATCGCTTATTTAATAATGTACTGAGTGCATATTTTGCAATGACGTCTGTAATCATATCAAAAGACAAAGTCTCATTACACTCAGACATTCTGAACCATGACCATTCAAATACAAACGAAAGCCAATTAAAAGCATACAGTGGGGTTTGTTGTGAATTCGAAACGGAAAAAAAGTTCACCCTGATATGATTATACATGATTTAAATAAGGAAAAGTAATCGTTATGAGATGATGAATTAGCTCAGCTGAGTCATACTGCTTTTTCTAGAGATTCAACGGTGGACCAACATTGGTTACATTCCAAATGTCGACTAGTGTAGAGAGAGATAGGAGAAACTCGTTTTGGTTAAATTATTTTCAGAAAAGCATAAAGAAATGACATCTTATCTTACCTTTAACCTAAAACAAACGAGTCCCAATACTGGATTACCAATTATTTCAAAGGCATCATTACTCCTTACTTTGTCAGCGAAATGCCTTGCTAATTTGATATGCTAAAAGTTAAAAATATGAGTATTAGTTAATAATCCAAAGTTTGCAGTAATCAGAATGAGAAATTCAGTCATAACACTCATTTTTAAAATGTTTTTTTAAAAATAAAATCTCCAATAAAGTAATCTAAATTCAGAATAGATAGTACTGTAACTGCAGAAGGTAAGACACGGAAGCCAAGGTATATTTTCAATTGATCAAACAGCTATTTATATCTATACAGTTTATATTCTTTAACCAATCACTGAGCGTGTGATTTTGGTTTACATTAAACGACATGAAATAGAATGTTCAAATACACACATAGTATTATGTAGCTGATGCAGTATTGAACTGTGGGAAGAGTCTTCAGACGTTAACATCAACAAATACAATGATTCTAACTGTGAGAATAATATTCCGCTGGAACCCACTGTCTGTATCACACCACCACAGCACAATTAACCTTCATTGGAATTAAATCGCTAATTTTTTTTAAATCGCCAACTAGTTACACATCCTTTGCTTTTACTTCAGTGCAGTGATTTAAAGTTTTGTAGTGCTACGTCCTAGCTTCGATAACAGGGCAGTTCATCAGTGAATTCGTCAAAGAAATACCATAACAATACCTGATAGAATCAGTTCTTTATAATTCTTTTTCAAATAAATACAGTCTCTGAGGAAAACAAACCTTTATCACAGTTTCATAATCCAGCAGTTAAATTTCAGTGAATATATGATGATAAGATCTAAGAGAAACTTACTACTGACGTTTCATTCCATCAACCTACTTCTTATCAGGAAACTTAATATCTAACAAAGTGATAAACTGTAATCACAAACAGTTCAGTACCCAACTCACTACTTCAGCATTAAACTCTGACAGTCAGCTGCGAATTAGTCTCACATGAAGTTACTTCGATTTCATTGATTTAATATTCACGGGTTATGTTTCATCAGATTATGCATAAATAAAAAATGACTGAGAGAGTAAAGTAGTAAGGACATCCAATATTATGACATATACCATAAATTTGCTTTACTATTCCAAAAGGATAATAATACATTATGGGTTTTAATTATCAAAATTAAAGTATGCAAAAAAATAGAGAATTTCGAGCTAACTTTGATGATAAAGGAGGCTGTCGTTGAATGCACCACTATGGTAGTAGGAATGAAGTAAGCGCTCAATTTCTTTCACAAACTTTATTTCCCTTTTGTGTTAATACAGGATTATTTTATCGGAGGAAATGGTGTAGTTGTATAAGGTTGTAGTGATCCATTTTATTACTCATCATCGTACTATACTTTCATTGTGTAATTGTACTTCGATTTGTTTATTACTCTAAATCTCGCATGTTAACAATTGATACATTTGTACACGCTCAAGTTTTGAATTTTGATTGCTGCAATAATACACTATCGTATTCCTTCGCAAGTGCCTTTTGAATTACGTTGTGTGTGTCGAGTAAGCACAACGTTAGGACACAATATATAAACGAGAAGAAGTATTAGGATATATGTATACGCCAGTATAATCAAAATACAGCAACAACACAACAACTGGTGAGCCCGACGACAACTTGTTGACCCTGACGACAACTTGTTCACCTCGACGCATCGTTACACTTGCTGGATTAATAAAACTCTAACTTTCGTGGATCTCTATATTTACTAGACATTTCGAACTCATTCTTGTGCTATCTCATCGCACAACCTGCACTCATGTTCACTTGCTCAAAGACACTATCCTGCTACGTCAACGTCCAACAGATAATCGATCGAATCGAAGCAATTCCAGTTCTCTGGTAATCCAGCAGGCACAACTCAACAGTTCTTCCTTAGTCCTCAAGCTTCAGCATTGTCTACAGGTGGTCAAACACTCTTGCAATAGTCTGCAACTCCATGTACTCAAGCCGGTCCTACAGCTGTTCAATTACAACAGTTTACCCAATCACCTCAACAACAACAGATTCAAGCACAAGCTCATCAGTTACAACCAGCTCAACAGCAAGCTTATATCCAACAACATCAGCAACAAGCAACAATGATGGCAACTGACGTCTCTGTCAGTGGTCAACCTGGTACTGTAGCTGCATGCTCCGATGCTACTACCCAGTTTATCACCGTGGGACCAGGAGCTCAATTAAAAGTCATGGCTGTTGGTCCTAACGGTCAGTTGATTCAAACCACTGGTTTACCACAGTTTATGCCGACTGCTTCTGTTGGAATGGCTATCAATCAACCAACTGCTACTCTTCAACCTCAGCAAACATCAATTCAAGTTACTCCTCAACGCCGAGTAACAACACCCCAGCAACAACAACAACATACTAACGAACGTTCACTTCCAACCGTATCAGCAGCAGCTACTGCTGCACTCTTCTTTGGCACAGCCATCTCTTCTTGTACAATTCCACTTGTACAACCAGCTTTCATGGAAATAGAGGTAACTGAATGTTTACCCAAGTCATTTCCATACTTCCTTATTACTATACTATTAACTGTATGTTAAGATATAAATCTATTCTGTAACTCTTTACAATAACAACCTCATTATTATTCTAATAATTTTTCTGGTTTTATTGTTACATTTTGCACAACTTTCTAAACATTTCGGTTCGTTTCAAAATTGTTAACATTTCCTAATATATACAGTTATAATCGAACCTCAGAAAACTTAAAAGCCTCAATTTGGTTTTCATATATTTTTGTCCTTGCAATTCACAATATCATTCCGAATACATGTAAACTTCATTTACCTGCATTCTACGGAGGGGCTATTGTAGTGACCCATTTTATTACTCATCATCGTACTATACTTTCATTGTGTAATTGTACTTCGATTTGTTTATTACTCTAAATCTCGCATGTTAACAATTGATACATTTGTACACGCTCAAGTTTTGAATTTTGATTGCTGCAATAGTACACTATCGTATTCCTTCGCAAGTGCCTTTTGAATTACGTTGTGTGTGTCGAGTAAGCACAACGTTAGGACACAATATATAAACGAGAAGAAGTATTAGGATATATGTATACGCTAGTTTAATCAAAATATAGCAGCACAACAAGGTAATATCCCTATCAGTGTGCGAGCTGTAATAAGCGCTGAAACTGTAAACGTTTAGGAGGAAACAGTTTTTCACGTCATGCGTTCTGTGTTGAAAGCTTTTTTTTCCATAGCAAGTTTTCCTTAGTAAAACATTTTATCTATACATCATGAGTGATTTCTGGAACTAAACTCCAAGTGATCCTCATAAAATCCTGTTGAAAGGATCCACTCGCATTCGAAAGACGGAATAATATTGACTGGTATTCAAGTGTTGGTTTGTAGGGATTTGATTGGTTTCAGGATTTTCATCATGAGCTGACATTAGTTAGAGAACCATTGGAAAACCTGGGAGTGCTGGACAGCTGTTTCGTCCTAGTTTGGGACTCTGGTGTTTCACTGAATTAAATAATTTATAAGACTGAAAATATCCAGACCATAGATGTTGCGAATTCCCTGGAATAATTTCAGAGCCGAGTCAGACTGATTCATTACAAAGTTTTTTGAAATAATGTCAGTGTTCAGAATATCAAGACAAGATTTTTCTCACAATTTAGCTGTGTAAGCCACAGCTTTTTCATCAGAATTACCCTGATATTTTCCGAGTAATCTACTAGACAATAGAAATTAATTTGGTTTGTTAATGAATTCTTTTTGAGAAATTAATACGCGTGTGGCATTCTGTAACATCATGTATTTGAAATCGTCAATCTTCTGGTACCTTCACCACTTTATCAAACTTTATATTATATATTTAGCCCCAATCAAAAGGAAATTAAACCATCCACTGCACATCACCATCCAACCAATTACTTCAGGTGAATCTTGAGACATTGTCTAGACGTACATACTCGGAGCCGATATGTCAGCAGAGACCAAACACTTCGGTCCAACCAATCAACAAGAAAATAAAAACTGAATTAAAAACAAACAGTGTCCTACTTACCGTTCGAATGTACTTTCGCAAACCTGAAGCACCGTATATTCGAATTACAAACCATAATTTAAGAGCTCTGAATCTTCGACTTAATGGGATGCCCCAATGCTGAAATTAAAAAAAAATCCATATCAGTATAAAGTGTTTTCCCTCGAATGATTCAATTAGTAGAACAAAATTATAATCCCGATAAATCAGGTCGGCAAAATTTCAGTTACTGACTGACTATCAGTAAGTGAAAGTTTGTGTACTATATATACACCATGAACGTCAGAAACAGTAAGTACTCGGAAGTGATAACACCTAAATGATTATATTAAGCCATTGGAAGTAATCGACATTGAACTACTGAATGAAAGAATTCTCTGAGTTAAGGAATTTTTAAATAACATAAATTTTTATTACTCAAGGTATCACTGAAGTAACTTTCTTATGTGTATCGTATAAAGGAATAAAAAACTACAGTGAAAGAAAAATTATGCACTGGCGGACGGGATGTAGGGGTCGTTTATCACTTCAATGTTTGAAAAGTGTGAAAACCCACATTTGTTATTTTTGTATGTTACCCTGGATAGATAAGTCCTCTTAAAACAATGTCATATATTTTTAGATTAGTTAAGGTTCACTAGATAGTTTTTTACTACTTAACCTAGGAAATATCTTTGTGGATTGTATTCTACGGGAAAAAAGCTTGAACATGCAGCAGATGAGAAGACATTTCACCGATGAGATACCTGTTATTTTTAATGACACTAGACATTCTCGCGATCGTTTTGATCTGTCTAATAGGCTAGAGAATTTGCCATGGGAAAAGAGTAGAATGAAAAACTCCACTTAATGGATCTCGGAATTTTACCAAGTACGAACAGAATTATGCAAAGGTATGTCCATCGCAGTGAATCACCTAGTGGATTGTCTTACTTTTAAAAAATTTTTCGTTAAACCACGTAACAAGCTCTGCTACCTCACTTAAAAACGTTATTCAAAATAAACATCTAAAGAGGAACCCAGAGTTACTGTTGACAACAAATGCCCTGGGAAAATAAGATGAAATCACATTGAATTGCGAAGTCCGACGTAGCTGGTACGAAACCAGTTTCTTTCAGGCTTGAGCGGTAAGATAGCGTAGTATCTGGAAGAATGAAATACAGAATGAATACTGTACTATGAAGCATCTATCCAGATTCCAGATTAGTCATATTTATCCAGTTAGGTAATCTAAGATAAAAAGGATTTCTTATTTATGCCACCGCCGACTACAAAAAATCTATAATCTCTAACCACAGCACATACACTGGACGAATAGAAAGTTGTTGCCTGATTTCCAAGCGTGTTCCATGAACATAACGAATGAAGAGTGCAGGTATTCTACAGTGTAATCACTGGCAGAAATGATCACAAAGTTCATTCAAGACAATTAATGTACAAGTAAATTTGAGTTTGCTGTAACTCATCGAAGCAATGACCACTAAACGAATAGGTCTAAACCTGCATATGCAGAAATAAACTGATTTCAGAATTGACTGTGGTCACTGTGTTAGAGTACCAGTCCATAAGAGAATATTCCTATTTGATAAACTGTACATTAATGCAGTTTTGTAATATACTGCTCATTGCATATGAGCACATGTTAAAATCCTCCATTTTTAGTTACTTTAATAGCATTCAGTTTGAAAATATCATCTGATTCCCTTTCCCATTTGACTCTTTATCTTCCTGCTCACTATATTTTAATTATTTTGAATCATCTAAGCCATGTAACTTCAACAGAACATGTATTGTTAATTTTTACATTTCAGATTAATGTTACAATAATTCCAACAATCAGTGAGATTACGGGTAATAATTTTGATTGATTTATTAGCAAAATTAAAACTTATCATTGTCTAAATACCTATTACAAATCCATTCCGCAATGCAAAACCTATGCATTCGTTTGCCTACTGTTTCTATATACGCCAAGGAGCTTATTATTACCTCTTTCATCTTTTCAAGTCTTGATGTATTCACCTAGGTAGAATCAACGGTCTTTATCTTCAAGCTAGTTAACGAAAATACACTTTTACATGTTGATATTAGCACGGTTATAGACTGTATTCAGTCCAGCTTATCAGGGAGAAAATTATATGGAAATGGTTTCTCTTAGGAATTTAAAAACGCATATGTATATATATATATATATTTTTAAATATTCCCACTTATAATATTAGAACAAGACATATAAGCGAACAATATTGTTTTCAATTAGATCTTCTTCAGGCTTTACTCTAATTTACATAGATTTATATATAAAATTTTAACACTTATATACATATACTATCTTTTTTATTCTTATCACCTGCATAAACCTTATTATCAATATTTTGTTATCATTATAATCATCGTTATTAACTATGTTCAAAACATTTACCACATTATTATTATTAAGACTATCGAGATTATTATTTGATTCCCAAAATCACCGTCATTGGTTAAAATTTTATATATAAATCTATGTAAATTAGAGTAAAGCCTGAAGATCTAATTGAAAACAATATTGTTCGCTTATATGTCTTGTTCTAATATATATATATATATATATATATATATATATATATATATATATATATATATATATATATATGTATATATAACAACTTGAACAAAGATAATAAGTACAATGCTGAGGACTCACCCGAAAGTCAACTGCTTTAACTTAATATTTTGAAGAAATAAATAAATAAAATTTAGAAAAAGCTGCAGGCATTTACATACAAAATAAACAACAATATTATATAACCTTTCAAAGTAACAGCGTAACACTGAAATACCAGAGACTGAAAAGTAAATTGAATATTTTTAAGAGCTAAAGTCCAAATGAAACTTTACAGTGTAGAATAAGCATCAGTCTGCAGATTCCAAAAGTTTTTTTAAAGGAACTTTTGGCATGACGACAGGATTTTTGATTGTTTTTATACAAACTTGATCATTTCTCTAAGGTATGTTTCTAATACAGTTTATTAATTCTCGAGCTTAATAAATCAGCAACATAATTCCTTAGGAGACTGTCACTGACAATTAATACGACTGATATACTTCACTTACTTTTGACTATAACTTTAGGATTCCATGCGAAGTGAAATTGTCAATCAATTTGCCAGTTACCTGAAATACAGTTTCAGTGCAAGTTAGAAGTTCTGAAGTGTTAAATCCATGCCTAAAGCAGTATGAAATTCATGACTGATTCTTCACTTCATTTTTTGTGACGACACATCATCTTCAAAATAGGGGAAGTTATACAAGCTACTTCTTGAAATGAAATCTGTATTTCCTTTCTGTTGTAAACTTTTAGATGATCTTATAGAAATGAATTTCGTAAATAAGAAGTAAGAAGTACTTTAGTATTCACCTAATTCTTTGCCATCAAAAACTCTGCAATATAAATACGACTGTACAGCTTGAAAATGAAGTCGTTGAAAAGAAGTTTCTTCGCTGAACAAAAAAACTGTGTTTTTAATTATGAAAAACTCACTAAACAAATCAGTAAAAATCGTTGAAGAAACTGTTGTACCAGGAGATAACGCAGTATAAGTTCTTTTTCTCTGTATGACTTGGAATATAAATAATTGACCTTACAGAGAATTGAAATTCAAGACTGAGATAACCAGTCAAAATATTGTTTTTATGTCATAAAATAGTAACTTATTAGTTATTGCAAACTACAAATAGTATTAATTTCTAGCTAAGCTGCCTTTTGCATGGGAAAATAAATCTTTATATCCTAGTCGGTCTTCTGTGTCTTTCCAGTGTGGGAACAATCACTACTAAGTGGTCAGTTATATAGTAGTGTGGTTGTGTTAGAATCAACCCACACAAAACCCATAAAATTCAGTACCATAATCAGGCTTGCAACAAAAACAGTATGTAATTTATCTTAAAAACTTCTGCGTCAATTCCCTAGACGGCTGACATTAACGAAAAAAAGATTGTGGCACTATTTATCACAAAACTCACACTACAAGACTTCGGTCTTTATCTAAATGATTTGTTACCAAGTGGAATTACTTATGCCATGCTTCCACTTCAATACTAATTCAACACATGAGAGATGATTCAGAAGACCAACTGAAAGGACAGGATGTATTCCTCCAGGTTGAAGGCAAAAATATTATTTTTACATATTATCAATCAAATATAATACAGAAAACAGTATTCTTATTGGTTGACAGTATCCCAACAAAATATGGACGATGTAAACTTTAGCTTAGTCTAAGCTCAAATATTTAGTTCACAAATGATTCAGTATTATGCCTACTGGTCCGCCTGACTGCTATAAACTTTCACCATTATTGACGAAAGTTTACAAGGTAATTATTTCACGTGATTCATTTTATGACACATAGTGAAAGGGATATGAGTCATTCGTGAGCTGGACGAAACAGTCACTGGCTCTCACTCCTAAGATTTGAATTTAACTCGTTAAGTACCTCACCAAAATTTAAGGAGCTGTCCTCTGTAATCTGTAAAATATCTTCACTATATTATGGTGGAACACTTATTAAATCACGTTCGAGTTTTTACAAACTAACATTCTGTGCTAATAAATACTATTGAACTGATTTTTATAGTTCATTTTAGAAACTCGCCTACTTATGAATTGTCTCAATATTTAGCTTTCGTATTAAATCCGCTTAGAAGCCACTCAGGATCTAGAATAACAAATTCTTATGAACTAAGACATAGATTAGATAATTTAAAATTAGATAATGAAGAGTAAATTGACATTGTCACTCTCTATACACGCATACCAATAAATATGGCTATAGAGGCAGTCAGAAACGAACTCATTTCTGACTAAGAACTTTAACATAGAACGAAAGTGCCACTGGAGAACATAATACTGGGAATCCAGCTATGCCTGACTTCCACAGTATTTAAATTCCAAGGCAGAATATACAAATAAACTGAGGTAGTTGCCATGGGCTCATCTATATCCCCGGTGGGAAAACTTAGCAATTGAAACGTTTAGCCCCACCCCAAAAGTATGGTACATGGATAGTAGATGGCACATTCACTGTACTTAGAACACAGGATATGAATAGATTTTTTGAACACATCAACTCAAAGGTGGAGGCAATTCACTTCACTTATGAATTGGAAAGTGAGGAAGAGGAGTTTCCAATGTAAGATTGTAGCGTTAAAAGGAAAGATGATGGGAAGTTTAACACTAGTGTTTTAAGGTAACTCACAAATTCAAACTGATATTTGAATTTTGGATCGTCTCATCCTATGTCAGTAAAATTAGGATTGGTGAAATGTTTAAGTGATAGGGCACAAAAAATAAGTATTACCAAAGAAAATCTAAGACAAGAAGTCAGGCAAATAAGAGAAGCTTTGAAACCTAATAATTGCCCTGATTAATTAATCAGGAAGTAGGTAGGATAATGTAAAAAAAAAATTAATAGTGATAGTGATGATGATAATAATGGTAATAATAATGTTTCATACTTCAATGTTTGAAAGGTAATAGAGAAAACATTATAAGATGAACGCATCCGGAATATAAGTATTACAATTTATAGTTTAAGTTACTATCAATTTATATACTATCAAACTATGGAAAAAAAGAAGGAGGTTGAAAGAAGTCACGAAACAGTGTTAGCTTGTACGTCAACATGGCAACTCAAGGAGGTCAAAGTTCATCAATTTGAAAACTTGTTTAGTGAGCTGAGCTCACTAGAGTGTATAACTAATCAGTGTAATGAAAGTGATATAGTTACCAAGGGAGTGAGAGATTGGCTGAACTCTCTTTCTGTGTGCATAAGTTTGGTCTGAGACGTTTGATTGCAATTTGTTCAGCAAATCGTAGTAGATTCGCAGTCCTTTGTATGTTTAATATTTTGAAGGATTTGGAATTTATAAATTCAGTTGGAGGTAACATCAGCAGGGTAATTACACAGTTTCGAATGGCTTATAGAGCATGTAGTGATGTATAGTGTCACCAGCTTGGCTGCAGAGAAGCATGTCTTTATTGCTCTTTTCAATCTTTTGCGATACTGTTTCTCCTACATTTATAAATTTACGTGCACTTGCGGCAGAGAGTACATTGTAAGGACAAAAAAAGGGCTTCTATCCGGTTTTCAGAGCATATTCGGAGAAACGTATGCTTAAAAGGAAGCAGATATTTACAAAGTGCAATTACCAGACACCTTGTGGATACGGGCCATTTTGTTGAGACTTCCAAATTCTTCAAAATATTAAACATACAAAGGACTGCGAATCTACTACGATTTGCTGAACAAATTGCAATCAAACGTCTCAGACCAAACTTATGCACACAGAAAGAGAGTGTAGCCAATCTCTCACTCCCTTGGTCACCATACGTACGTACAAGCTTTTTTTTTTTTATATTCCTTCACGTTCCCAATGGAACATAGGGCTTCAAGCTAGAAGCTTGAAGTTTCTGTAGCAGTGTTTATTTTTACAGGATGGGGTTGCTAGCCTCATGCCCAACCTTTCCTCTTTACCAGCTTTATTTCTGGTTTAGCGAGGTAAAGGAGTGCGTCAGCCGGGTCTTGAAAACCCGGACCATGTGCATGGTCGGCGAGCGTCCTAACCGCTATGCCACCGACGCACGTACGTACAAGCTAACACTGTTTATTAGATATTTCTGTTTTCTGTCTTCTCTCAACCCCCTTCTTTTTTCCATAGTTTGATAGTATATAAATTGATGGTAACTTAAACTATAAATTGTAATACTTATATTCCGGATGCGTTCATCTTATAGTGTTTTCTCTATTACCTTTCAAACATTGAAGTATGAAATGCTATTATTTATAACCACTATAGTTTCAGGTTGTTTGCAGGTCATGGGAACCTGTGAAATAGAATGATATCATTTTATGCTGCAAATCTGGTCTTTCTTTCTCTATCGAAGACAATTTAGTTTATCTACTGTCCTCCTGGAATGATTGTCATGCCAAATACATAGGTCAAAGTAGTAGCACGAGGTCAGTCAGACTAGCGGAGCAATAAATACCTAACGATATCTAGATTAGTTGACCCGAATAAGATAAGCAATCTGGAAAATAGTTCAGCCGCAGATAGCACTACATGCAATCACACACAACCATACAATAGGATGGGATAAGATGACAGTTTTAAAATCTAATGTAACAGGGTAGAGGGAGAGATTGATAACGGAAGCTTTATTTATCGAATCAACTGCAAACACGTGTAATAGGAATGATTCAACACCTGTCCCAGATATCTGGAAAATTCTACTACCCCTACGACAAATGGGAAAGAATAAAGAGAACTATAGAACGAAAGTTTCGAAGTTGTGTGATTACAATTGATGAAATGATTACGAACAGTAATGAATTGTGTTCGAAATGTCATCCAGTAAATAATACTGTTTCACTGTATGGTCTATTTAATAAACAAATTAATATGCAATGTCAATTATTATTTATTTTTAATACAATTTTGACTTTCCCGTTGACTGATTAGACCTAATTCTCAAACACCTTCAAAGCATCCTCACCAGGATCTGACATGACAACAGACGCCGAACATTTCGGTTCAGTCAGTTAAATGGAAACTCAAAAGTGAATTAAAAATCACTAACTAACAGTCTTTCTTCCAAGGAATGTAATTACAGTAATTTCTTATATAACACAATAATGAGAGTGCGAAATTCCACTTACCAGCATGTTCATATTGCAGATATATTGGATCGACAACCATACACTCTGTTAAAGCTTTCGTACTGCGTACCCTTAGTTACAAAAAAGTTAAAGCATTTCATTACATATGCATATAGATATATATAATTTTCACTAGTATTTTGCCGTATTTTCAAAGAGAATATTGTAAAATACTACACAGTATGTTAATTCCATCCTAGAGAGTAGTATATGTCCAAACCAAGTTCACTTTTAACGGTTTGAAAAAATTTGGGCATTGGGTATATGACATTCATAATAATAAAGGTTTTTGTTTTTCATTCATTGGGAAATACAAAAACCTTTACTAGAGAGTAGTATTAGCAGGTTCCACAATTGTAGAAGTAGGGTGTTAATATCTCAATGCTCTAATGACTGGTATTAGTGACAGTGCGCGCAAGTTGAAAAAGAATCAACTCATGCCATAAAGCATGTTTCTAAACTCTTTGAACAGAGAATGATGAATGGAGCAGAGTCTGGACACATTGAATCCAACGCATCTGAACAGTCTACTAACATGTTCAAATTCTAATTCAATCCCAATTATATATATTTCGACAAAACAATAAGAAGAAATAGCTTTTCTGAAACGTGTAATGTATTTGCCCAACACATTTCAGACATTCTGATCACATACTTACTTGACATACACATTTATATATAAGGCAATAGAGCATAAATGACTACAATATAGATCAAATTGTCTACGGGTCAAGGTAATAGATTAAAGGTAGGAAGGTGACGTAAGTATGTTAGGTAACAAAAAGAAGAGGAAGAGGGTGAAAAAACTCACCTTAGTTCTAAATTGGAATATCAAGGTTGGTTGTATAATACTGCATCACTATGTGATTATTAAAATAAACTTATCTAATATGGAATTACATTCTACCACAATGCCCAAGTTCTACACTTACATTAATGATCGTATAATATTTGAATGAAATAAAAGATCGCTCAAAACATAATTTCAAATTATTAAAATAACATTCGTTAACTAACCACATAAGGCTACAATCATAGCCTACTAACATCCATTTGTTTGGATTTATATTCAATGACCATGCATCCTAATATGAAAAGAAAGAGAGGTGAAAAAGGGTAATTGATGATACTGAATTTCGTTTTATAGAAAATATGTGATAACTACGGTGCACATAAATGCATAGGAATATACAAGAACTTATAGTAGTCTGTAAAACCAAATGTACTTGAATCTGACAAATGTGTTATGATTAGATGCTACTTAATCAGTATATAGTTTATGTTCCCATACATAACCCAGCTCTGGGTCATTCATTGTCATCTATCTCACACATTTTTCAATAAATTTGAAGTTATATTTCATCGGTCTAATAATTCAGTTTTTCAAATAGTAGCTAATGGTTTCAATCTCTGGTAACCCGTTCGGTACTAGAAAAGTTTATTTGATATAACACACAGCGATACAGTATTACTAACTGAAATTACATCCTACTACAGTGCCTAAGTTCTACTCTTACATTGATTCCGGTGACCTGTTATTATAACAGTAATTACATATGAAGTTCCTGAGTTGCATTTCTTTCTTCTCAGTCCTTAGAGTTGGTAGATTTCAGCTACCGAAAAGTGAACTGAGTCTTCATCTTAGAACTGTGCACAGAAGTGCTGCAGTTCATGTTGCCACACTTCACGAAGCACGCATAGATTCAGAGAGTATAACTAAACGGAAAGTTATAAGAGAAAGAATAATTACATGAAAACGTCACAACTAAATGGATCTGAGATGTTATAAAGAGTGAGTGTATCTCCGTCAATGAGATAAGTTTACAGTCAACGGTCTCCTTCCATTGGTTCTTAGCACCTCGACGACCCCAGCCAGACAGTTTGCATCTTCCTGCTGGACAAAAAGAAGCAGTCAAAGACTTCGGGGATTGATGCCAGGTTTTGATTTGATTACTCCTAACTGTTTTACAACGTACTTTTATGCAATGTAACATTGCTCGACGAGCAATAGGGTGGCTAGGCATGCGTGAAACCTGTTACTAGCCATCTCTGTCTATGTAGGCTCCCAACCTCATCAACTGATTTTCCCTCCTTACCTAACTATCCACACCGAACTTCAATATTACTCACCGTGTTATACTACCGAACATGGAAGACAAAACACAAATACCTATGATCAAAGACAGCTAGCTCTTTCATGTCTTCCAGTCTCAACAGTCAGGTCTCATAGCCACAAAGGAAAATAGAGAGAACTGCCAATCAATGGACACATCCTTTGGTAAGTAGTTGGATAACATGTCTACTCCAGAGGTGACAAATACCATATGAGCCTTTGGAATCCGTACTGAGATTGTGTCCACATGTAGCCTAATAACGTTGGCATAACTTCTCAAATAAGTGAAGTGATCAACACAATCAAACACTACACTCCCTGTCCTTAAACTAGGGATCGGTTTAGACCAGTCCTACAGCACTATCCTACCGCTGATAGATGAGAATCGCATGCCAAACATACTAAGATTTCTGCTTAAGCTGTTCACAAGACGTACCTTGTTGATAAGCTCCAACAAACTGCAAACACGTATTCAGAGCCTACCTTCAACCACCCAACATCTGTTCAAACTGAATCACAATGAAGAGTCACCTAGCCTGATGACTACGTCATCAAGTGAACCGACTGAATGCAGTCAGCCTTAACACTAAGGTTTAAACAAATGACAGTGAACACTTTACGGCAGCAAACCACTGTTGGGTAGTCTTCTTAAATTTATATGTAAGAATAATGCAGCGTTAATCAAGAAGATATGAATGGAAGTATTAATCATAAATATAACAAAATACGGATATCACACCCCAGAAACAGAGTAAAAGACATCATGTTGACGAGAGATTCAATACTTAGATAATATTGTAACAGTAGAAGGCAAGATACAGAAGTAAAGGTGTATTTTCAATTTATGAAGCCGCTATTTATGTACACAATTTATATTAATATAAGTATAAAATGTGGGCATTAAGGTATAAATCCATTATGGATAAGATTTTATCTTGATAAATCACACAGTGTGGTACAGTAATATTTATATTCTTTAACCAATCACTGAGCGTGTGATTTTGGTTTACATTAAACGACATGAAATAGAATGTTCAAATACACACATAGTATTCTGTTGCTAATGCAGTATTGAACTGTGGGAATAGTATTCAGACGTTAACATCAACAAATACAATGATTCTAACTGTGAGAATAATATTCGTTGGAACCCACTGTCTGTATCACACAACCACAATTATACATTTATTGAATGTTGAACATTTACTAAACACAATATTGGATACAGACCAGGATGATATTTTGAATACCAGTAAAAGCTATTATATATTAAGTACAAAAATGATTAGACTTACTTCAATTCCATCTAAATAGTGTCTAAATTCTGGACAAATAAACGCATTTCCTGCGTACGAACCGTCAATGTGTAACCAAATACTGTTTTCACGACACACTTGCCCAATAGATTTTAAATGATCAAATGAACAGCATGATGTTGTTCCGAGTGTAGCACAAACCTTAAAAATGGAAACAGTAGTTAAATTTTAATCAAATATTGTTTTTCTCACTAAAATGAAAATTTATCTTGGATATAAGCTAGAATGTAATTCTTGATACAAACAGCTAACTGTGATAGTTTGCAACATCTCTGCTCCATTGAGGATGAGACTTTCGTTATGATTATTTTGCTTTCTATTTTGATCGTCTTCTAACTGAGGTCACATGACCGATTTCGCAAGATAAACTGATATTAAGGCCCTAGATTGAAGTCTATTACAGTTACTCAGAGTTTGAAGATGATTAGGTAGGTAAACTGTCAAAAAGCTATCGAGACTTATGTGCTTTTACTTCTTTACAAAAATGTGCATAGACATTCTGCAATTCGAATGAACAATAAATCTTTTGCATACATACCTATCAAACAGCTAAACCTTATTTCTGAGATCATTTGAAGATTATAACATTTTTAAAAATGACTACAGTAACTTTCAAAAGCCTGTAAAGTTCCCTGAATGTTAAATATAAGTATTTGCCTCAATGGTCATCCTAAATTTTGTGCTATTAGAAAGCTTGAAACACTGTAAAAACTTAAATTCGAGCGTCAGCATACATGCAGAACTTGTGAAGTATTAATCCCTACAAACAGACTCTTGAATACTGTCTTTTCATTGTAAAAAGTGTGAATATGCAAACATGGTGACAGACGATGATTTTAGTCTATGCTTTCGGCACCTGAACTGCTTCATACTGTAACATTTCCTGTCCATGCTACAGTTATAGTTATCAGCAGTGCTAATAACTGAAAGTCACTCCCAAAAAACTTACCTATTGATGCAAGCGAGTGAAATGGTCGTTAAAGATTAATTGAACAGTATTTTTAAAAATTCTTTTCTTATTATAGCTTGATTCCACACAGTATTTTTGTAAAAACTATGGAATTTTCAGCATGTGATATCAGTAGCCCAAATTTAGCTGACTGACCATTGATCTCAGGTGTGCGTTGGCAGGGCATCGAACCCCGGACCGTATGCACGATCCTGACTGCTGTGCCACCGACGCACAGTATGACATTTTAATGAAGCAGATCAGATAAGTTTTCCAATCATTTTCCTGCTGTTTTTGTGTCTGAAAATAGTTATTTTTCGCTGTCTTTAATTGAGTGTATTAGTGTATCTACTATGGTTATTTACTTTACAGCACTACTATTTCGTCTATCTGTAACTTTTATCTGAATATAGTTTTCTCTTTTCCGTAAATACAAAGTTACTTTGATGCGACAATAGAATCTAGGCTATGTAGTACAGTATAATCCCATAATAAAATAAGTACTATTATGCAGCAAAGTTAACTACTTGGAAATATTCACTGCTTATTAAATTTAGATTGAATATGTCCAAAATCTTCCGACTTTTTCTAAATATGTATTGTTTTACCTACTAAGCAGAATTAAGAGCCATTATCACTAAATTGGGAACTATATTGTTGCCTGGCACTGTGTGTGATTAACGCGTGTACTATTTTGAAGCAATTAAAAGCACCAGTTTATAAACACGCGTTTGTTAGGTCAGTACGCAGTGACGGAAAGCATGCTACTGGATCTTTAATGCTATTTAAACTCTAACTCTCACGTGTACATCTTAGATATTGATGTTAGTCACTCAGTATCGCATTACTTTGTTAGTTTCCAAGTTTTAATCAAACATAAAATTCTCCTAATTCTTTAATTCGGGAAAAAAAAGGAGATTCACTTAGAGGAACAGAAATATCATCAAGGATATGCATTTGTATGATAGGTCTCACATGGTTACAGAATTAAACAGATCACAACTTACATAAAATGGAATAAGACCAAGAGCTTTGTCTTCCTAAAAACAAAATGGATTGACAATTACATTACATTATGACAGGTAAAAATAAACATCCACGAGATGAAGAAAGTACAACATAAAATGCTAATAATCTTTTTAAAACTGGATGCTTAAATATCAGATTCAGATTCAAAGACTGAGATAGGAATTATTTTGCATAGAATTATTAAAAGTGTGGTTATAAGTCAAACAGATAACATAAATAACAGACACTATATGATATTCAAGTATTGGTTTGTAGGGACTTGGTTGATTGGTTACAGGATTTCATCATTAGCTGACATTGGTTAGAGAACCATTGAAAAACCTGGGAGTACTGGACAGCTGTTTCGTTCTAGTTTGGGACTCTTCAGCAGTACGCACCCACCGGGGTCCGAACCCAGGACCTTGTGGTTACAAGGCGAGCTCGTATGCCATTAAGCCACTGGGACCCGATCCAATGGCCCATGAATTCTATATATCGTGAATTGGCAGAAGTTAATGGCATACGAGCTCGCCTTGTAACCACAAGGTCCTGGGTTCGGACCCCGGTGGGTGCGTACTGATGAAGAGTCCCAAACTAGAACGAAACAGCTGTCCAGTACTCCTAGGTTTTCCAATGGTTCTCTAACCAATGTCAGCTAATGATGAAATCCTGTAACCAGAAACTATATGAATTTATATATCTAAGCATGAAGAGGTTACTCGCCAGATTATTATCCTTTCCCCAGATGGAACCATCATAGCAATTCTGTATGGAGAGAGGTTTGGTGAATGTATCGTGACTGTGAAGAATAATATGTTGATTTGTAAATAGTTATACAGTCACATTTCTAATTCATTGACAAAACAATCATTCATACTGGTTTGTATATTCACTTTCTAATTCTATTTACAGTAACCTGAATTGAGTTGATCTACAGTATGCTAACTCTATTGATTATTCCTATACGTGCGACAGTAACAAAGTACGTGTTTGTTAATCTATGTTGCGATATTCTAATAATATTGGTTACTGTCATACATTTGACAATAACGAAATATACGTTTATTAACTTGTATCTGAGATCATTTGTGAAATATATATATATATATATGTATACGTATATATATATATATATATATACATATATATATATATATATATAATGTTTACATATATACATTTATATATCTCCAAGCAGGAAGAAATGGAGATGGATTGGCCACACTCTGAGGAAATCATAAAGTGACATCACTAGACAAGCCATTGCTCGAGTGGAACCCGAAAGGGAAGCGGCGAGTTGTTCGTCCAAGGGTGACTTGGAGGGGGTCATGTGAAGAGGAGATGAAAGCGTGTGGGCAGACGTGGCGCCAGGTGAAAACTCTAACAGAGAACCGAACGTAATGGAGACGCGCGGCTGAAGCCCTATGTTCCTCTAGGAATTAAAGGAAATAATAATACATATATATATATATATATATATATACACTTGCTGCCTGGATTTCGGTAATCCCAATAATAAAAGATAATTACTACAATCCAGATACCAGTCCAAGTTAGTATTAATTACTTCCTAAATCGATTGCAAAGACAGCACAAGTAATAAATAAATAAATGGTGGTTATGGACCATTCGATTAGTTCACAAAAGCGAATCTGTAGTATTTGGCCTTTAATCACAGCCTCATCCCACTAGTGCCTCCAGTTCGTTAATACTCTTAAAAAACTGCCATCATGTGAACCATAATCAAGATGACTTTCCATCATCCAATAGAGGTGATAAATTCCTTGGCTTATCTTCACAGAATAATATAAAGACGGATACAGATAAATTTTCAATATAGAAAATATCCCCATTTAGACATTTGGAAAACACAAAAGATTGAGCGAAGAAATATTTACTTTTCAATTAGATCCTCTTCTCTGGCTCTACTCTAATATATATAGCATTTTTACAATACACAACAATTTACCAAACAAGTGGTGATATGTTTGTTAACAATATTTAAACAGTGTCGAAATGTCAATGGGTAGATAATTAACGCAGAAAATCAATACACATTTAAAAAAGTAGAAATGGATAGAATAAATTAATTTTACAAGAATAACACGTAATTAAAGATGAAGCGGTCAAAATAAAAATAAAAATAAATAATTTGGACAATTATAATTTAATAGGGGGAGGGGAGCGACGTAGTCCTGTCTTGTAAGGATGGCCACGGTAAGCAAAGTGGCTGTACAAATTTCTTCTGTACACATAGGCTTGGCTTCTTAAGGTGGATTCCGATTGCTTCTGCTGTCTGTAGAAGACGAACTCTTAGAGCAAAGTTGAGATTAGTCGGAATGCGATAAATGATTTTGAATGCAGTATTCACATCAACCTTGTGCTCGGTATCAACAAGGTGTGCTAAAATAGAACTCCGAATAGATTTTGTTTGTCCCTTGCTTAACCACGCTGGATGATGTTCAGAAATACGACGATGAAACTGCCTAATTGTACGCCCAATGTAGCTGGCTCCGCAGCTGCAGTCAAACTGGTATACACACATAGAAGAGGCAAAATTAGGTAGTTTGTCCTTATTTCTCGAACATAGAATAGGGGTGGTTGTGAAGAGACAACGTACTTCTGCTGCATAATAAGCTCTTTTAACTGCATTCTATGTGTGTATACCAGTTTGACTGCAGCTGCGGAGCCAGCTACATTGGGCGTACAATTAGGCAGTTTCATCGTCGTATTTCTGAACATCATCCAGCGTGGTTAAGCAAGGGACAAACAAAATCTATTCGGAGTTCTATTTTAGCACACCTTGTTGATACCGAGCACAAGGTTGATGTGAATACTGCATTCAAAATCATTTATCGCATTCCGACTAATCTCAACTTTGCTCTAAGAGTTCGTCTTCTACAGACAGCAGAAGCAATCGGAATCCACCTTAAGAAGCCAAGCCTATGTGTACAGAAGAAATTTGTACAGCCACTTTGCTTACCGTGGCCATCCTTACAAGACAGGACTACGTCGCTCCCCTCCCCCTATTAAATTATAATTGTCCAAATTATTTTATTTATTTTTATTTTTATTTTGACCGCTTCATCTTTAATTACGTGTTATTCTTGTAAAATTAATTTATTCTATCCATTTCTACTTTTTTAAATGTGTATTGATTTTCTGCGTTAATTATCTACCCATTGACATTTCGACACTGTTTAAATATTGTTAACAAACATATCACCACTTGTTTGGTAAATTGTTGTGTATTGTAAAAATGCTATATATATTAGAGTAGAGCCAGAGAAGAGGATCTAATTGAAAAGTAAATATTTCTTCGCTCAATCTTTTGTGTTTTACAGATAAGTTTAACGAAATAAGTTATTTTCAATTTCGGTTGTTTTTTTTTTTTTTCTTAACCGTGATAAACGTATCCAACTGATCTCTGTTGCTGAAGCTTTGGCCATCGAAATAGAAAAGGCATATCTCTGTATACAAGAAAAGTTTGTTTAATCCCTCTGACTCTCATGGTCTTAATCAGTCTGTACTAAAGTATGATAATCCCCGTTCATATTTTGACTCAACTTATTTTCCGTTTTTTTTATTCAATTTGTATACTCTTCACTTATTACAATTATTACTATTATGATTATTCTCACTTTGAACTGTCTCCAGTATTATTTCACTTGTCCCACTTGTCATTTTAAATCAAAATAATTTTCTTTAACAATATTCAATTCTATGTTCTCAAATTTCACATCATATCACGTAACGATTTATTTGCCTATTCGGCTTACAATATTTCACCTCCTTCCAACATCTACATATCTTATGAACTATTCTGTTTATGACATTATTTGTTTTGCTACTTGACATTTAATCACATTTTAATTGTATTTCTTACTATTATTATTTTATGTATTCACCCATTCATTTCAATTTCCTAACTGGATATAACTTCTTAAAAACTATATATACATACATATATATATATATATATATATATATGCGATTGTAGAGCTTGATAATAAGTTCGATGATTTTCTATATATCCCTGTCAGAACTTTCTACTAATAAACAATCACGGAAAACATAAAGACTAGCAACCAGGTGGTGTGAACACACCGGTGACCTTGAACGTAGACTATACGTTGCATTAGAGAAGGCACGGTGCATCCAAAAGCCGTTTATCTTCCAAGAAATTAAACAGGATAATAATGAAAAAATTTAAAGACGATATTTTGCCGTGACGTAACTGAAAAGTAGTTTCCAGTTACAAGGAAGGGTATCGGATTTCAAGTTTCATGACTACCACAATCGTTTCATCTATGTGAGTAATGAAGTATTCTCCTGCTATAAATTTATTTACAAGGAAAACACATCCATCCAGTAGGGGGTGAGGATGGCGTTCCTGCCGATGACATTGGTTAGTGGTTGCACAAAATCCACGAATTGGTAGAATTTAGAATTTATGGGCCATTGAATCGGGCCCCAGTGTCTGAACGGTATACAACCTAGCCTAGTAACCGAAGGTCCTGGGTTTGAAACTCAGGGGTGTGTATTGATGATAAGTCCTGAGCTAAAACGAAACAGCTGGCCAGTACTCCCTGGTTTTCAACGGTCCTCTAACTGACTTCAATCCATAGTCTAACTTACAACAAACAGAATCCCTACAAACTAATTCTTGAAAATAATAAAACACTCGGACTCTAACGTACTATTAACCTATTATCCAAACAGTACTTAAAAACGAAATCAAGGTGAAATTTGCAAATCATTTTGTTCACAACGTTCACTCTGGCTCTGTAATAATGGCACGTTCTGTAATCCAAGGTCATTTGGGAGTTTGCTCACCGTGGTTATTATTCTTCGGGTTGGTCACATTCAATTCCATTTGAATGGTAATGGTTACAAATTCATGCTGATCAGGGCCTAAGAAATGAGATCTAGTGTACTTCCACCTTTCGTCAATCCAAGCCAATGTCATAGATAAAAATGGACATAAGTCGTAACAAGTCAGCTGACATTCACCTGGTTTTTTAAGTTACTTCATAATAATATTAAGAATGTTTTAAGGTTACATTTTTTTGGCATTTAGAATAATAATTTTTATCCAGTAATAACCCGCATCTAAATTAAATCACTTTCTTCTTCTTATGTATTTTGTAAACGGGATCTTATTCTGTATTTAAGTTTATCTAAGAGAAAGCCTTGAATTCAAATTTCATAGGCGTTGATGCTCACCAAGAAGAATGAATCTAGTATTCAGAAGAAATTTACATACCCTAGGAAACTGGTGTCACAGATGAAGACTTCAAACCATAATAATACATTACGGTGTTGTGTTATTTTGTTTACAGATGAAATTATTACTACAACTCAGATTTCTTAGATATGTCATTTGTTCAGATGCTTATTTGACTTGTTTATTACTTTACCTATGCTGTACATAATTGAGAACCGGATTCCTGTTTTATGACAGAAGTGAAGTATGTACATCACAATCACTTTACATTTCAAAAGTGAGTAAAATAGGAAATGTAATTCACCTTTGTAGTAGGACTTCTTATCAAAGAGGTATATCTGTTTTGGTCTTTATTTAGCACAAGCTTCTGAAATGAAAATATATGCTTCTGAAATGTCTATCCAACGTTTGTGTTAGATTTTCACTGAACGAACGTAGATTGCAAAGACTTCGTCTGGTACGGCTACCTACTTTGTGGATAAGAGATGCTGCATAATTTTCAGACTGATATACCCTGAAAAGTCTCATAATACAACAGCCAAATTAGGTATTAGGCTGTCTTATCCCAAATTTTTAGACAGGCACAAGATACATCAAAGCATTATAAACGGTTTAAACCCTTATCACTGGTATATCAGTGTAACTTTTTACATAGGTTTTATTTTATAAAAGGTAGCTAAAAATGTGAAGCTTGCGAAAGCGTTTATTGTCATGTTTAACTTTTTAATTAGCTTTTTTTCACCTATTGCTAAGGTCTTAAACGTGTCAGATTCTCTGCCCTGGCAAGTGTTAGCTGCTGAGTATGAGAATTTTATTGTGAGCAACAATTCATGGGTCACCTTTATCGCTGCGTCGCAAAGAATTGTGAACTCTGAATTTAACTAGCATAACATTAAACAAGTTATTTGAAATTAAACAGCCTCTTGTTGAGTCTACTGAGTCAATCAATGACTTCATATTAGTTATTTTAGTGCGTTGGTTATGTAATGCTTAAAATGCTTGCCAAGCACGTATGTCGTCTGAAATTCGACTTCTGACCGACGCTCTACACACAACTTAGCCCAGTCGGTAGTAACCCTGGTAAAAAAGGTTGAGCGTGAGGTTAGTAACCTCAGGCTATAAAATAACACCACTTCTACTGGAAATTCAAAATTCAAGCAAAGGAATTAATATTAGTAAATTAGAAATTTAATGAAAACATAAATGCTAATGAACTCATAGAGCCGGCTATGTCTTTCATAAAAAGTGTCTTACTTTAATAGCATTTTGCAAGGTTTCACCTTGAAGACTAAAGTCTTCGTCCACTTCCAAATGACGCAGCTTAACAAAACTTAAAATACTGGCTTTTTCAACAGCGGAATGGGCCTGAAATATGTGAAAATAGGCTTAATTTGGATTAGGCAGTTAAATTTACAATTAGATCTTTTTATAATCTAAAAACGTTGCTTCCTAATCTTCTGAGTAAACCCCTGATCACGTTGCATTGGTCACCACGGCATAACCAGCGTCACCAGTCTAGTCCTTGCTGCAGACTTAAATCTACCAGTAAATTTGGCAGTGTGGTCACCAAGCTAGGTGGCTCGCCATCGAGGTGCACTCTGAACTGATGTTAAGTGGTTGGAGGCAGTCGATAGGAAACTCTGGACCTGAGTTATTCGGGCTCAGCGGTAACGCTTATGACTGCAACACCGGGTGACACGGGTTCAAATCCTAGAAGAACACGGGTTCCTTCAAGGTTGCGGATACGTCTTATTGACGAGTGCTGACAAACAAGAAACCTAGTTCCAGATTTTATTGCATATGGCCTCCAACAGCCTACCACAAACTCCTAATTACTAATATTAAACACCATCTCGAGTATGACGACACTTACTCACAAGTGATAGTAGTGGTGTGGCAGAGGCTAGAATTCATTAGCTACTTAGCATACGTATTCTAAATCAGCAACTGAATGGTATACACCCTTGTTTCACAGATTACTGCCTTGATCTGTAGGTTGGTGGTGTTTGTTAAAGAGACATTAAGTAAGACGCGAAATCTCTCTGGAACTATATAGTTTTTAATGGTTTTCTAAATGTTTGGTTTTGATTAAATTAAATGTACTTTGATTTCTTTTTGTTTCCCTTTTTGCTGGAATTCTTTGACTGTGTTCTATCTTCTAGTGAAAGAAGTTCGTTTTACTCATAATCTTTTGTAATTCATCGTTATTTTAATATCTGTCCGTTGCTTTGTATACAAATTTATCTTGTTTACAAAAAGGCAAAAAAAAAAAAAAACAGATACTTCATTGTACTTTGTCTCTTTGTCAATATCTAGGATGTGTGATCACAAGCAGTTTGTGAATGACGCATCTCCCAATCGGTATTCAGTTGCCACTGTGTTAATAATATTTAAAGTCAAATGTATGATGCCATGTACTACTGAGTGATTAATACAAGTGGTTGAATTTCACTCATATTAATCAGTAGCGTTTGCTAGCCAGATCGGAGTGATCTAAACAAGGGATGACAGTTTTGCTCGTCTGGGGCCGACGTCATCATCGATATACTCAACTGTATCCAACTATGCATGTCAATGAATCAATCAATCACTAGTTCATAATAAATGTTTTATCTACTTGTTCGACAATACACTAACGATGTTCAGTCAACAGCAGACTATAAAAACACAAAATAGTTCGTAAATTGATTTACTTATAATTATTTAGACGAATACAACATGGCTTTCAAAAGTTATAATTAATGATTACCGCAAATTAAACTATAGAAACGTGGAAGCCTGAACTAATCGAATTTGAGTAATAAAATATAGCATACGAAATCTTTTCAAGACAGCTACCGATACATAGGAAGAATAAACTCTTATCTCTCTGCTCATTCAGTATAGTTACTTCAACGTTTTATGACCATAAAACCAAAATATTTTAACTATGACAGCTATTCTGCAGTCCTGTAAATCTATTAAAAAACTGAGAGTAAAACGCAAAACTTACTAATTTCGAAGTATAGGCTACAAGTCGTGATAGGACAGCAATTTTTGAATCTGATACATTTGTCTCCTCAAAAAGATGTTTATAACGTTCAACTGCTTGGTGACGAGCAGCCAACATTGATATTAATATACAGTCACTTGCAGAAGACTGAAAAAAAAGTTTTGACAAGCGTTAATACAAATTAAACTTTTCACATAACTTATTTAGTTTCCGGGGTTATGGAAGTGACTGACATAAGGATGTTGACGAGCCTTATTAGGAAGATGATTTTTAACTTGTCTACTCTTTTAAAACTACTCTACTCTGTTATAACAAAAAGAAAAACAATGAAAACAGTTCCTCAGTAATCACCTTTATTGTTTATATTGACGCTACATGAAGAATTTAGAGACGCTGATATCAATAAGCCACTGAATTTCAACTCAGGGGTTACTTAGTAACCTGCTTGTCTTAAGACGTCCAAATTCTAGGTTGTATCCAGCATTATGTGTACTTTGCATGAGACCTCAAAATAAAAAATAAATCATTGTCTAGCCCACCACGAATCTCATTTGTTAATTACAGATATTCATGGATAATCCCCATCCAGGCATTAATGAAAACAAAACACGTAGATCAGCGAAGAGTCTCTTTTCGGCGAATTCATCTTCTTAGCTGTACAATCGCAAATATATATGCATTGTTTTGTTTGTATGTGTACATTAAGTTTGTCAAACAAAGTTACAATTGGTTAAGGTTAATTTTAACTAAACAAGTGAAGGTTGGTAATACAGGTCAAGAAAACTAGGGTAGTAACAAAGGTGATGAGATGTCAGAAACAGTTGTAATAATAATAGTGAGTTTTACTCAGGATGCACATAGAAACAAAGTAGAAATTATGTAAGAGGTCTAAGTGGATACAAGAATTACAATTGCTTAAGGTTATTTTAACTAAACAGGTAAAGGTTGGTAATATAAGTCAAGGCAATTAAGTGCTAGGATAGTAACAAAAGTGATGAGTTTTCACAAACAGTTGTTAAAAGAGGTTATGCAATAATAATATGAATATTTTGATGAGTGAGTTTTACTCAGGATGCACATAGAAACAAAGTAGATAATACGAAACTATGTAAGAGACCTAAGTGAATACAGGAATTATAAGCAACTAAGGAACAGGCAAAGAAACAAAGTTAAGTTATCAGAATAAAATAAAATAAAATCAAAAAATCAAAACATTGTTACCATGAGAGTAGAAGTGGTTGAGTAATCTTCTTTTGTATGCACAGCTCCGGTTTTTCCATGTGAATGGCTAGAGCTTCAGCGATACAGAGGAGACGAAACCGTATTGCCTTTGATAGGTTGTTCTTGACTCTGTAGATTACTCTGAAGGAGGCGTTCGTTGAAATGCAATGATCAGTGCTGACCAGGTGTTCAATTATCGCACTCCTTATTGCACCAGTATTGCCTTTTCGCAACCATGCTGGATAGTGTTCTTGAATCCTCTTGGACAGGATGCGCGTCGAACGACCGATGTACCTGGCTCCACAGCAGCAGGTGAACTGGTATATGCACATAGAAGCGGCCAGATGCGGGATCTTGTCCTTGAGGCTTCTGCAGATTAGTGGGCGACTGGAGAACACTATTCTTAGCGTTGCTGTAAAGAATGTTCTTCTCAGAGATGATGTGATCCTTCTCTTGAGAATATCGCTTGCTAAATCTCCCTTGAAATCCAAGTTCATGTAGATTTTCTTTTTAGGCGCAGTCAAAGTTTCGTTTTTCCGAATTATTGGTTTCATATTTTTGTCGATAAATCTTATTGGGTAACCATTCTGGATGAATATTTCTCTCAGAATATCTAATTCTGTTTCCACAACGTCGGGACTACAGATGCGTCGGATGCGGGAAGCAAGTGATTTAATTAAATTCCGCTTTTGTTGAATGGGTACCCAGCTATAGAAGCTTGTTAGTTGACCATTCCACGTAGGTTTTCTATGGATTGATCTTCTTAGGCTCCCATCAGCTCTTCTTGTCAGTTCCACATCAAGAAACGGAATTTTTGACTCGTTTTCCATTTCAAGAGTGAATTTTATTGCTGGATGGCAATCGTTGAATGTCTTCAGCAGTAGATTGGGGTCGTTGTTGTTGTCACAAATAATGAAAATGTCATCCACGTATCTTTTGTACAGTTGCAAATTGTCGATACTTGATTTTAGTGAACCTCTCTCGAGGCTTGCCACGAAGCAGTCTGATAGTAGTGGACCCAACGGAGATCCCATTGCAATACCATCCTTTTGTCTGTAGATAGTGTCGTTGAATGTGAACTGGACGTTCAGAGTGCATCTCAATAATAATTCTTTCAAATATGTTGTCGGTATTCCAATATCGATGTGGTTGTCATCTATATATCTGCATATGAAGCAGACCGTTTCTGTGAGTGGGACATTGGTGAAGAGTGACTCGATGTCGAACGATAGCATAATTTGGTTAGATACATTCGTGTCTTGTATGCACTCGATGAACTGGAAGGTGTCACGGAGTGAGTGCGTACATAATTGCTTCCTTACAGGTTCCAGAATATCTGCTAGCCATTGTGCAATAGAGTGGTAAGGGGAACCTGACATATCCAGAATTGGGCGAAGTGGGAGACCAACCTTGTGTACCTTTGGTAGACCATAAAGTCTTGGTATTACTGAACCTGTTGGCCGGATTTGGTCGTAAATATCCCCACTAATTAGTTGACTGGCCTTCATTCTCTTCAAGACGTCTGTGAGTTGCTTCTCAATCTGTTCCGTCTTGTTTCTTTCATTGGAAGCTTGGGAAAATTTGTCTTCATTCGACAGTATATCGTTCATTTTCTCGATGTAGTCTCTTCGATTCAGAAGCACTACACCAGCACCCTTGTCGGGCCGAGTTATAAGCAGATCTTTGTTATCTCTCAACTGTTTTAATTCCTCTCGGTGCCGTTTCGTCAGGTGGTTGCGGACTTTTGATTTTGTATTCAAGTATTGATGGCAGCAGTCCATTATTGTTGACTTGAATCTCTGTAGTTCGTCTTCAGAAGTTGGGCTGAGATCGTGCGTTTGGCTGATTAGATTTTCAAACTGGACCTGAGTATGGAGTTTGTCGGCGTTGAAGTTTATATCGCAGAATTTAGGGCCCAGAGATAGAACTTCCAGTTGCACGTCGGTTAAAGGTACTGAGGGATAATTGAACACAAACTTCGTGGGTTCGTCAGGAAATTTGCCTTGAGGTTTCATTTCAATTACAGATATCAGTCGGTGATGTTGATTACAGGGGCACGGAAACTGGTCATAATTTCCTCTAACTGATGTCAGCTCATTATGAAATCCTGTAACCAATCAATCAAATCCCTACAAACCAATACTTGAATTCTTTAAAGTAATTAAAAACAGAAATTCATTTAGTGAGTGGAATGAAATAATCTGATGAAGCCATAAGGTAAAAGATCAGCTAAAAACACAAATAAAAACGGGAATTTCAATGTTTAAATGCGCACCAATGTTGTCCTTAAGATGCCATTTATCTTAAGTAAGAGTAGTGGTTATTGCACAAACATGTGAGAAAACTAAACTAGAAATTCAGTGTTATTCTGATTTCCCTCTAAACTCCTCAGGTTATCTATGCATTAATGTTGTGCTAATTCTTGTACTTCGAACATCCAGCAACTCTATTTTTTAGATTAAGAGGTGTACTAAATGTAATATACTAGATGTTGACGTGTTTCTCTACTTTTCGTTTACTCAAGTAACAATATTACCTTGAAAAACGCATCAACAAAATAAATCTCAAAGCCGATTTCGTCGCAAACTGAAAACTAAGGAGCACTAGACAAGTGCTTCATTCAAGTTTGAGATTTCCCAGTAATGTGTACACATTTTCCTTACCTAAGAGTCGTAACGAGAGCCTTCAAGTTACACTTTGAGGACATTATCTTGTAAACACTAGGTGGATATCCAGAAACCCGTGGATTCGACGCTCATACAACTTCCTTTCCGTTACTCCCTGGTTTTCCAATGGTGTTAGCCATCTGGTTAGTTTAGTCAGAAGATGATCTGGAAAATGTATGTGAAGCCCTACACTGAGACAGTCTCCATAAAACGAATGCAGTCAAATCTATGTACACCGAAAGAGAGAGTACTGAATTCTGTACTACCTTGTTGATTAAGCTTAGTTAAGAAAGTATACAATTTTACAACGTCACGCAATCTTCGGTTCTGTTTTAAAAATAATTTAATTTGTTTCATCTGAACGTTAATCACCCTACTCCTGTTCTGCTGTTTTGTAAAACATATTTTCTGTAGTTACGTAACCTACCGATTATATTGTTATACTCTTTCTAGTTAAACTTTGTTTCTATCGAAAACTTTGAATGGTATTTTAAATATCGTTGGACTAATTATCCTATAAATAGTCAATCCTTTCACCGCTAATTTAACAACTTACATCATTCGGAGCTTATGCTACCCTTAGTTCCCGTAAATTACTCCTTGTCATCGCCAAAAAGGTATGCTCAAATCTTTCTACTATTTAGATTGTAACAAGTTGAGAAAAAAATCCTCGAAGTAGTAAAAGATGGGATCGTATTATCCTGGTACATGTGTTGCTCTTGCTTTATTCAATTTTACCAATGGGAAGAATTGTATGAAGCTTTTAAAAGCCTTTCTAATTAATCCGACTGAGATATCAGTTCTACAGGAATGAATAAATATGGCTGGTTGGTTTTAGATATCTCGGGTTCAGTTAGCTTTAAATTATTTAGCTCGTAAGAAGTTTGAATTAATAAACAATGTCGCTTCACTCAATTCTTAAATCTTGTAGTGCCCCTTAGAAATCAAACAATAAAACAGAGTAAGTAAACTGAGAATGAATATACAAACACAATATCCGTGAAGTCGGCTTTATTCACTACAGTAATTCTTATCCTCACCTGTATTACACCGCCTCCAATTCCACTGCTGTGCAAAAACATTTCTGGTAGAACTAAAAGTTTTCCAATCCAGTCACACATCACAATTTCTAGTTCAGTAATTGCAGGACTTGCAGCCTGTTGAAAAGAAAAACAAGGCGAAAATAAACTCTAAATTAAAATAGTAATCAATATACGTGTGTGTGTTTCACCACTTTTCTGTCTGCACTGTCCCTTTATTAAATCACTTTTGTGGTATCTGAAAGATGCCTATCGAATTCTACCCTTCAATGTTTAGTGAAAATGCTTTTAAAACCTGAAGAATGCTAAAAAGTTGTCGCGCATCATTACAACAGGAACAGAATGGGAATTGGGGAAAAATATTTATCCTAAAAATATCATGTAGAATGTTGATATTATTAGACCAGATTATTAATTATTATTTATTTATTTTATTCCTTTGCATTCTGAGTGGAACATAGGGCTTGAAGTTTCAGTAGCAGCGGTGTTCATACGGGTATGGGGTTGCTAACCTCACTCCCAACCTTCCCGCTTTGTAGGCTAACAACCGATTAGGGGAGGTAAAGGAATATGCCAGCTGGGATTTGAAGCCCGGACTATGTGCATGGCTAAAGAGCACTCTGTCGCTGAACCAGCGACGCACAGACCAGGTTATAAAAGAAAACGAATATTATGAAAAATACCTATGTATCTCAGAAGAAATGTCTCAGGAAAGGTAAAATCCAGTGGAGATATCGCTGTAGATACTGATCAAAATATTTTAGTCTATTGATTGACCCACCTTTTGTGTCATTTTGTGATTCTTCACTGTATGAAGAGCTCCATTAGTGCTTGTTTACGAGTTTACTTGCCCAGCTGAAGCTTTTTACATTTCCCTAATCATGCGTCCACATTTCAAGCACTCTCGTGAAGATTAGCCAACTCAGTTGATGACATGGTAGCAGTAACTCTATGGTACAACATATAACTTGAAACATCTTTCAAGAGATCATACAAAGTGAGTTTACACTACTCCTAATAAACGAGGATATGACATTTATGGACAGCTGAATCGTTCGTACTCTTTAGCCTCAAACATTAACTTTTCATTTAAAAAGAAGGAGAAAGAAGACTTCGAAAGTCTATTCTAAAATTTCAGTTTTTCCCCAGCTCACTACAAACTTATTACTCAATTCGTTTTCAATGACTGTTCAACATTATTAAAGTTTCGAAGCTGCCTACTTCGTATGCTAGACAATAAGATTTCACTTCCTTTTCATATATTTCTATTAACTCTGTCCTTTAACCAGAAATCCATTTGAAATATTATTTACCTTAACCTAGATATTGAAGAAGTGCGTCGGTGGCATAGCGATTAGGACGCTCGCCGACCATGCACATGGTCCGTGGTTCGATCCCCGGCCGACGCACTCCTTTACCTCGCTAAGCCAGAAATAATGCTGGTGAAGAAGAAAGGTTAGGCATGAGGCTAGCAACCCCATCCTGTAAAATAAACACTGCTACAGAAACTTCAAGCCACTAGCTTGAAGCCCTATGTTCCACTGGGGAAAGTGAAGGAATAAAAAAAAGATATTTAAGGATGTACAACTGTAAAAAATAGGTGTGTTTGCAAGATGACTATCTTCTTCGAAATCCTCTTTCTGCTTATTCGACAACTAAATGGAGACGGGGTAGGTACTCATTAAGTCAGTGTGCCATAGATGCACTGACAGTGTAAAGCTTCAGACCTTGAATGTGCATTCATAAAAAGAATATTTACAGCTGATCTCTTCTTTGTCTTTGTAAGTTTACGCTACGCTTTTTCTTCCAGACTATATGCCACGTTAACGAAAACCCTTAAAATTATCTTCGAACATATGCCTATTCATCCTGATCTTAGACTTAAAATCTAATTGGAACATAGATTCAACCATTTTTTCACATTCTCACCTAAGAGATTTAATAAGTTTAAAATATTATTAGTAGTAGTCGCCGTCCTTCTTAAATTCCGTTTGATTTAATAATGATATTTCATTATATGAAATATTCTCTATTTTTTTATTTCTTTACGTTCCCAATGGAATATAGGACTTCAAGCTAGAGGCTTGAAGTTTCGGTAGCAGTGGTGTTTATTTTTACAGGATGGAGTTGTTAGCCTCATGCTCAGCCCAACTTTCCCTCTTTATCAGTTTTCTTACTGGCTTAGCAAGATAAAGCAGTGCGTCGGACAGGGATCGAACACCGGATCACATGCGTGGTTCGCGAGTATTCTACCGCTGTGCCACCGATACACATTGTTTGAACTACTTTAACTTGACGTTTATTTTAATGTGCATTTTGTCCCATATGTTAGACTATGTGAACCGCAGAAACTACATCATTTTTAATCTGATTGGGATGAGTTCCCTACTCACGTCAACTCCAACTGCATTTACCAATTCACGTGCACCTGCGGTAGCAAGTACATAGGAAGGACTGAGAGGACAGCATCTACTAGATTTTCCGAGCACATTCCTAAGAGTCTCCGTACAAAAGGAAGAAAAGTGTTAACAAGTGCAATCGCCAGACATCTAATTGACACAGGACACACAGTAGAAATCAGCCAAGCCTTCAAAATAATCAATACACAAAGAAACCCACGGCTACTTCGCTTCGCAGAAACCGTTGCTATCAAGAGATTTCGACCAGACCTTTGTATACAGAAAAATAGTGTGATTAATCTTTCACTACCTTGGTAACCCTAACTCTATTTTATTTTATTTTTGTTTTGCCTTTCTGTCAGTATGCCTGTGTGTTTGTCTTGTTACGTAACATTCTATTCAATTTTGACCTTCAAGTTTCTAAATCTACTTAATTGTAGGTGTGTTTAAGTTATAAATGTTACTTCACTATTCACCCCCACCCTCTTAAACTCTCCACCACAAGATGTGTAAATTTACTTTGTTCTCTGATTGGGATTTAATTTACAGTTCAATGTTAGTTTTAAAACTGAGTCAATAAGTCTACTTGTGGTGAATAATACCTCCATTCATGATCAGTTGCCATTGAACGAATTCCCCCTGAAATTTATTCATATAATCTCCGCTTTAAAGCGTTTAATAGGTCTTACTGATGGAATCTGAGATAGGTCTTCTTGTTTGATTTACTGTTTTACAGATGAGTATTACTCATTGGTGTTTAACAGACAACTGAAGAGTAGTCTACGATAGCCGAATACTAACAGATATGCAAATGAGTCTGAAATTTTAGTGATTCCAAATGAATTCGTTTTAAGATTAGATCCTTAGCTTCTTCTTAAAAAACATTTTCCACAAAAGGCATGCCTATACGATCAAGTAACCATATGTTTACAAATTCTAAAATAGGATTGCCTTACCCATGAAAATCCATTGCAACCTAGTGCTGTGGACAACATATCAGCCATGATCGATGGCATTGAATTAGCTGCAGGGAAATATGCATGAAATCGAGGATGCTGCCAGTGACTTAGCTTGAATCAAGAAAAACAAAGAAAAAGATAAATAGTTAAGTCATGAAATCATATTCAGTTGTAAGCTAACATTAAAATTTACATTAAATGTAAGCAAATTCAGTCAAGAATGTGTTGTTTGTCCTCATACTTCGTGTTTATAGGGCGAAACTTTCCGTCAGGACCCCTTTGGACGACTGCTGCAAAATTAGCCGTGCAGAATAAGTAAAGGTATAACTCAAATTCCAAATTCAGCAAAATTTAGGCGCACAACAGACCAAAAAGCTAGGAAATAAAATACAAGCAAAAAGTTAGAGTTAAACCAGTTATCTGGCTACTCTCCACCTCTTATGTGCGAGGAAAAATTTGCTTAGTATGCACTTTTATATTTTCTAGAAGATTTAAATATATTATCTGTGCAATTTTTTTCTGTTCTACCAAAGACAGAAATACCGACTGCATAGATCATTCAATTGAGCAAAATCTGGTCCATTTGTGGTGGTGTGATACAGACAATGTGTTCCAACGGAATATTATTCTCAAATATTCCCACAGTTCAATACTACAGTGGCAACAAACAGAATGGTCAAAGAGATATATCGTATTGTATTCTATTGCTAATGCCGTATTGAACTGTGAGAATATGTGAAAATAATATTCCATTGGAACACATTGTCTGTATCACACCTCCACACATTTAGATATTCCTAAGTAAGAAGGACATAAATATTAGCCATCTTACTTAAGTGATTGGACAACATAATTTATTGAGGCATTTTTTTTGCCTTATTACTGAACCATTATCTTCTTTTGAGTCTGTAAAAAACAGAACTTTCTATTATTATGCTAATTGTATCTCCAACTGAAATTGTTATCATGATATTAGATACTTAAAGCTTCCTACAAGCTTTAAGCACTTTTCTAATTTAGTAAAATACAGACAGTTTGCTTTCTATACCTATCCGTTTTTTAATATTAGCTCATGAAGTTGGTGTAGAATAAATTTACCTGAATTCTATCTAGGTTATAACTAGAGCATGTTGACAAAATACTGTAAATTTAGTTATTCACCGAATCAGAATTCAGGAAGAAATCTTATTACTTGAATAATACTGAATTCATCTACTTTTCAAGGCAAAAATGATTTGATAGATAAAGATTGGTGAAGCTTTGTCAAAGGTTAACATTATTCTTACAATCGTGTCATTAAAAAGAAATTTAATGTATTGTATGATATCTCATTATGGAGATATTTGATATGATTGGGCTAGGAAGTGTGAGAGGAGCAATAATTTATACTGTCACTATGTATATAAAAAGAATTTCTCAGCACTTACACATTCACAACACAAAGCTTGGATCAACAATAAACATTTGCTACTGACAGTGCTTAAAAGTGACCAGTATTTGTAACGTAAAGTATATGCTGCTTAAGAAAATTTCATTGTCGGAATAGCATTCATTTCAAAATATGAATCAATTGCCCTGTTGCAACATCAGTCTGTTTTACGTTGTCTTAAAGAGTGAATTAGGTTAATATGCAGAGAAATTTCTGGTACAGTAATGTAAAGTATTCGATTTTAGAAAATTACCGCAAACACATTTCAGAGAGTGTAACTAAATTTTTCGACTGAGAATATCTCATCACTAAAGTATTCATCTTTATGAAGGTCTATATAATATGTATTGTAAATTATTTGGAGTATTTGTCTCTAATTTTTGTCGATTCATTATCAGTCCTGCAGTTTACTTCATAATCTCGAGACGAAGGTTGCCTTACTTTTAGGAAACAAATGCAATGACGAATGAACTTTGAACTTCCCTGAGATACTTTAACACAGAACTATGTGAGTACTGTTAAACGTTAAGCTAGTGAGGGTGAAAAGTTCAAAACAAATTCATCTTATGGCATACCAATCATTCGAAATTATTTAAATGGTAGAAATGTTTGAGTAACTCAAGTGAAGTGAAGTCAGTGAGGTAAATTCATAATGAGTATTTACGATAACTTACCCCAGGTAAAATATACTTTTCAATATCGTCAAATATATCAGCCCATAGTTCTGGTTGTTCAGGTGGTCGATCTGGCAATAGGTGTCTTAAATAACCCGGTTCTACATTTGGTACGACGGAATATTTATGAATATTTTGTAGATAGTGTGTTATAAAATCAATCATTTGTCTACCCCAGTATGTAAAGTCATGAGAATCCATTACGCAGTATTTGTTCGCTGAAAGAGAGTCAAAAGGCAGTTTTCACTAATGTTTTTAATTATGAGAGTAAAGACAAAAATATAATAATAGTTAATAATAATAATAATGTATGACATAGAAGAAGCATAACATCCATTCCTTCAAAAATTATTTATTACTGGAATTTAGTCATTAATTAGCAATCCAAGTTGGATATCTGATAGACTGGTAATTAGATTTTGTCACTGACCGACACTCTTTAGGGAACTAAATAATCTACAGTGACTTAACATAAACTGAAGCGCTTTAAATGTAACAGGATCCCGTGCAAATTCTTATCGTACGATGTAGAAAATACATTTTCATTCTGCAATATACTGCTAATGAATAACAATATGTCTTTTTCAAGAACCGACATCATTTAGTGAATAAATAAAAATCGAGGAGCCCAGGTATAAACTGTCAGCAATGAAGTCATTATGTTAGAACATCTTACAAGTGAAACTACATTGTCTCTAGTGTTTCAATAAGCCATTATGAAGGATAATTAAACGATAGGTGTGTAAACACTTAGACATTTACAGTCCCTTTTTTGGATGATGCGAAATCTATAACATTTTGATAAGAATAAATAAAATGTAGAGTACGCATATACCTTTTGTAAAATAAAAATCAAATAGTGTTGAACATTGACTTCCTGTGTCGTATTCAGTTCTGTTTGATGGAAACTGTAATTTACTTGAAGTTATGTTACATTTCATTTAGTGTCTGATATAAAATAATTACAAACAAAACTCCTATTACTATTATTATTATTATTATTATTATTATTAATATTATTACTTGCTCCGTCTACTGACAGTTACAGTAGTTTATAAATAGTGAACAGTAAATTATAGTGTTTTTCTGAGATGCTGCTTTCACATCGTACTAGCTAAAGGCCTACTTTTGAACACATACTACTGGTTATTGTATTTGCCACTTTGTAATATACGTTGTATAGCATTCATCCATCTATTTATGATGTCCAGCAGGTTACTTACTTTAGCCCTGCATCTTATACATTTTCCTTGGTATAAAAACCTGAAACCAATAGTATTTTGCCAAGTTTAGCATGGTTACACTGATGAATGTGATATGACTAATTTATTTGAAATGCGCAATACTGATAATTATGTGTTTCAATTAGAACGTTTTTCTACTCCATCTTCTAAACATTAATGTTTACCTTAATAAATCAAAGTAGTAACAGTTAAAATTCATACTTACAAGATTCAGCAGTTTATGAGCTGATAAACCAGTGAAGTTAAAACCATTATTGTGTAAACCTCAAGTGTACTGAAGAGAAGATATCGCGTTATTTAATTTGAAACAGATTAAATATCAGTCTGATTTATGAAAATGTGCATAACTCAAATGGTATTCTAAAAAATGGAAGTAATCCATTCTAGAACCAATCATTTTCAGGTATATTTTGTCTATTTTTAAACATAAATAACTGCGTGGGTGTAAAATAATATTAAGATGAAGAAAATGTGTTTCAACCTCCTAAAACAATCACTTGTTCCAAACACTCTCTTCTACTTAACTCAGTTGTACTAAATGTCATAAACAGATAAAGGAAATAATTGTATGAATGTATCTTTTAGAAGTGTTTTTCTTCATTTGAATAGGCCAGTTCACATAATGTAGATTTTCTTAATTCCCACAATTAGGAATTTAAACATGATACCCACAATAAAATCATTTTCCTTTTCTGTCTTTCCTTTCCTAGGCTCAAAAATACTGCGTAGACTAAGTGGTGCTCAGGAGGCACAAACACGAGAAAACCAGGCAGGTTTTAGGCCAGGAAGAGGGTGTATTGATCATATCTTCACCCTTCGATAGATTCTGGAAAAAAGGTGGCATTCCTACCGGCGTCCAACAATCATTATATTTCTTGACCTAAAGGCGGCATTCAATTCTGTCGACTGAGAGGTTCTCTGGCGATGCTTGGCTGTAAAGGGAATGCCAAGAAAATACATTGCACTGATTAAGGCACTCTACTCGTACTCATGCAGCCAGGTGAAAGCTTACGGCGAGTTGTCATCTGAAGTGGTGACAACTAGTGGCGTCCGTCAAGGATGCCCATTATCTCCATTCCTATTCAACTTCATCATAGACGTACTAATGGACTTAACCCTCAGCACGAATACAGAGGGCTAGTTTCACATATGCCAGTTTACGCCGTCTCTGGCATAGACGTGATATCCGACTATCGACCAAACGGCGCGTGTACTGATCAACAGTCCGCTCCGTCCTCCTTTATGGCTGTGAGACCTGGCCATTGAGAGCAGAAGACATGAAAAGATTAGCTGTCTTCGATCATAGGTGTCTGCGTTCTATCTCCCGTGTGAAGTGGTATGATAAGGTGAGCAATATTGACGTTAGGCGTCGAGTGCTAGGTAAGGCGGGGAAATCGGTCGACGAAACTGTGAAATTACATCGACTGAGATGGTTAGTACATGTGCTACGTATGCCTAGTCATCGCCCTCCTCGACGGGCAATGTCAGCTGATATAGGGTTAGGCTGGAAAAGAGCTAACGGCGGTCAAACGAAAACATGGCACCAGTCAATGAAATCCACAACAGTAAGTCTAAGCCACGTAGGAAGGTGTAGACTGGCTTCCTGGCTGGGGTCCTCGGGACGGTAAAAATCAGTGGTTGGAAACAATTGGTGACATGGCTCAAAATCGTTCTCAGTGGTGCAGATGCATCCACTCCTTGTGACTTATGATTTCCAATGAAACTTTTGTTCTCCGTTATTACTATTCCTTTATCTCACACCTCTGTTTACTGTCTATATTATGCATTTCTCCTACTTTCTTCTCTTGCTTTGTGTGCTACATGGAGTGTGGCGACTTGAACAGGGGCACATATGTGCAAAGTTCTATGTCGAAAACTGACCGACCGATTTTCCTTTTCATCTAAATAATAAGAATTTATGCGAAATCTACAGTTCCAATCCGACAGAAACGGGTGAAAATGGTAATCCACAATCGTGACTTCTAGCATCTGAGGTTTGCATTCTAATCTGTGGTTACAATAATCTTACGGGATCACTCATGTTACATCGGACTAATCACAATGAACTATTATGTTTTCATGTGGTTAAAATTTATATAAAAAACTAATGTATTTTCTCAAGGATTAGTCGTTTTCTCTTCTGCAGAGCAGACTTCTTTAAATATGTAATTACTTACTAATGTTCAGTAACTAGAGCTAAGACTTGTTGATCATATACAGTTTGAGTACAGTGCATAGTATATTTATCATCATTAAGCGTCTTAATTCACTCTATTACACTGAAAAACTTGTGATTTTATTATTCTGCATGCTTTCGCCCACAGTCCAGTAATATTTTTTTAGTTTTCGATAATGAACGAAGTAATATTCAGTAAAGCGAAGAAAATTAGCTCCATATTAGCTAAGTTTATTTGATGTAAGGCAGTAACACAGTAATTATAACTGAATAACGTTTCGAACACAATTTGTTGTTCATAATCATATAATTTGTGGTATAACTAATTCTTTTACAGTTACTTAACGTGGTAATCCTTTTCTGACTAGATTACCGAATGTAGTGTTAATTATTCTTATTTTTGAATCCCTTGTCACTGTTTTTTCAAGTTGCTTTCATTTTTCACATAAACTGAGTTAATAATTAAATGCGTGATCAAGTTGTTCAAAATGTATTGCGCAAATACATCACTTTTTTTTCAGATAATCTCCGTCTTCCAATAACACCATGTGAACTTAATAAAGGGGATAATGATAAACTAGCTCTCTAGTTTTCCAGCCGGTCCCAAGCCAGGTGAGGGTTGGCCATGCTGCTAGTGACCCTATCCCGCAAGATCAGCCAAACTGTTAACCAAATTTCAACGCATAAAGATATGTTAAAAATAATAAAAAATTAATAAAAACTCATTTTTCGCTGGAATGAAATGACACAGCGGGCTGGTAAAAGCCTTCGAGAAACCAGTCAGCCAGCCAATGTGTCTTCACTCGATGAAAGCAAGAATAAGAATGGGGACGTGGAATGTACGAAGCTGGTAAGGCTGCCCAGGTAGCCAACAAAATGAGGAGGTATGGTATAGAAGTGCTTGGAATCTGTGAGAGCAGGTGGAATGGATGTGGACTACCAAAATTGTCAACTAGGGAGTCAGTAATCTACTCCAGTCTAGTCACCCAGACGACAACCATCAGCTCATTGAAGCAGTGGCTATCATGATGTCACCAAAAGCAGCCAAAGCTCTAATGCAGTGAGAACCGATCTCCCTCAGGATAATGATCGCCAGATTCAACCCCAAAGGAAGCAAGGAAAGTTATAATTATTCAATGCTGCGCACAGTACTACAAAAAAAAAAGTGGAACAAGAGAAGAAGGAAGATTTCTATAGTTAATTGAAAATAGCAATGAACAACACCCCAAATGGAGACACCAAGATCCTTAAGGACGGTATGAATGCAAGCGAAACTGGGGGCAGACAAATATGAGAAGAGAACATATCTTGGGTCGAGAGGCTCTCGGAGAAGTGGATGGCAATGAAGAACTCTTTACAGACTTCTATGCATTTAATGATTTGGTTATCGGAGTTAGCGTGTACAAACACAAGGATATACACAAAGCAACATGGGTTTCTCCTGACGGACACACCACAAACCAGATAGATTTCAACTCAATGCTGCTCAAGGAAGTGGAGACGCTGCCTGCTGGACAAAAGTCGAGAAAGGGATCAGATGTGGGCTCAGACCATCATCTAGTTCAAGAAACCTTCAAGGTGGAAGCGAAAGTCTTCAGAACAACTGCAGGCAGATCACAATTGAAGTTCAACATTTAGAAACTGAAAGATGCAACAACAAATGATACCTTCATTACAGATATCATAGCAAAGTCGGAGACACTACGTGGCATCAATGAGGAAATTTGCGTGGAAGAACATTGGAACTAACTCTCCGAAGGTGATTTTCAAGGAAACGTGTA